TTTATCTCTCGTCACTTTATCTCTCATCACTTTATCTCTCGTCACTTTATCTCTCATCACTTTATCTCTCATCACTTTATCTCTCATCACTTTATCTCTCATCACTTTATCTCTCGTCACTTTATCTCTCGTCACTTTATCTCTCGTCACTTTATCTCTCATCACTTTATCTCTCGTCACTTTGTCTCTCACCACTTTATCTCTCGTAACTTTATCTCTCACCACTTTATCTCTCGTCACTTTATCTCTCATCAATTTATCTCTCACCACTTTATCTCTCACCACTTTATCTCTCACCACTTTATCTCTCGTCACTTTGTCTCTCATCACTTTATCTTTCGTCACTTTATCTCTCATCAATTTATCTCTCACCACTTTATCTCTCACCACTTTATCTCTCATCACTTTATCTCTCGTCACTTTATCTCTCGTCACTTTATCTCTCGTCACTTTATCTCTCACCACTTCATCTCTCACCACTTTATCTATCATCACTTTATCTCTCATCACTTTATCTCTCGTCACTTTATCTCTCATCACTGTATCTCTCGTCACTTTATCTATCATCACTTTATCTCTCATCACTTTATCTCTCATCACTTTATCTCTCGTCACTTTATCTCTCATCACTTTATCTCTCATCACTTCATCTCTCATCACTTTATCTCTCATCACTTTATCTCTCACCACTTTATCTCTCATCACTGTATCTCTCATCACTTTATCTCTCATCACTTTATATCTCACCACTTTATCTCTCATCACTGTATCTCTCTTCACTTTATCTCTCATCACTTAATCTCTCATCACTTTATCTCTCATCACTTTATCTCTCATCACTTTATCTCTCTTCACTTTATCTCTCATCACTTTATCTCTCGTCACTTTATCTCTCATCGCTTTATCTCTCATCACTTTATCTCTCATCACTTCATCTCTCAATGGCTTTATCTCTCATCACTTTATCTCTCATCACTTTATCTCTTACCACTTTATCTCTCATCACTTTATCTCTCATCACTTTATCTCTCATCACTTTATCTCTCGTCACTTTATCTCTCGTCACTTTATCTCTCATCACTTTATCTCTCATCACTTTATCTCTCGTCACTTTATCTCTCATCACTTTATCTCTCGTCACTTTATCTCTCATCACTTTATCTCTCGTCACTTTATCTCTCGTCACTTTATCTCTCGTCACTTTACCTCTCATCACTTTATCTCTCATCACTTTATCTCTCATCACTTTGTCTCTCATCACTTTATCTCTCACCACTTTATCTCTCATCACTTTATCTCTCACCACTTTATCTCTCACCACTTTATCTCTCATCACTTTATCTCTCATCACTTTATCTCTCATCACTTTATCTCTCAGAGATTAGGGTTCATTGTGCAGTCAGCGGAGACCAGGTTGAGACCATCAACTCAATGCACTTGAGAACCCGGTTTAACCAGTCGATGGGTCTCTATCAACGTCTATGGGTCTCTGTGTGAGTCTATGGGTCTCTGTGTGAGTCTATGGGTCTCTGTGTGAGTCGATGGGTCTCTATCAACGTCTATGGGTCTCTGTGTGAGTCTGTGGGTCTCTGTGTGAGTCTATGGGTCCCTACCAACGTCTATGGGTATCTATGTTAGTCTATGGGTCTCTGTGTGAGTATATGGGTCTCTGTGTGAGTCTGTATGGGTCTCTGTGTGAGTCTGTATGGGTCTTTATGTTAGTCTGTATGGGCCTCTGCGTGAGTCTCTATGGGTCTCTGTGTGAGTCTGTATGGGTCTCTATGTCAGTCTATGTGGGTTTCTGCGTGAGTCTCTATGGGTCTGTGGGTGTCGTTGAATCTGTCTGTAAGTTAATGGTGGACCGAGCTGAGGCCATCAGCTGATTGCCACACGTTGCGCAATCTCGCGGAGCAAGGCCGCGTGGTGTTAATCGCCAACGAGTTATTTATAGACTCACACAGAGACCCACAGACTCACACAGAGACCCATAGGCTTACACAGAGACCCATAGACTCACACAGAGACCCATAGGCTTACACAGAGAGCCATAGACTCACACAGAGACCCATAGGCTTACACAGAGACCCATAGACTCACACAGAGACCCATAGACTCCTCACACAGAGACCCATAGACTCATCACACAGAGACCCATGGGCTCACACAGAGACCCACAGACTCACATTGAGGCTTATAGACTTACACAGAGACCCATGGACTCCTCACACAGAGACCCACAGACTCACATTGAGGCTTATAGACTCACACAGAGACCCATGGACTTGCATAGAGACCAACAATGTTACCGCAGAAAGAAGCCGGTGGCTTTATTTTTGCAGCGCTGCACTTGCCGTGAGCGGGGCATGTCGACGGCGCAACTCGCTGGCACGTCGTGGACGTCTCTGGCAACTGGTTGCGTGCAACTGAATCGCGTGCAACCGAGTTGCATGCAATGCCACACGGACCGGCATTGCTTGCACGTCGTGTACATCTGGCAACCGAATTGCGTGCAACTCCACGCAACCGGCATCGCTTACATGTTGTGAACGTCTCTGGCAACTGGTTGCGTGCAACCGAATTGCGTGCAACTGCGCGCGATTGCGCAACCGGCATGGAGCGGAAACTGCCGCTTACCGAGAGAGAGGCGACGATTGACCCCCCCGCTCTCCCTCGCTCTCTCCACGGATTTTATTTTCCTTCCATCCGTCGATTAATTTTTCCGCTGATTTGGCAAAAAACCAAAAATATCCCCCAAGGAGCAGTCGTCGCTTAGCAACCAACAGAACCCCCCCCCCCAATCGACCCCCCCCCACTCGCCCCGCCCCCTCCCCCATCAGCCGCAGCAGCACGTGGTCTACCCACTGCTGGATGGAGGCCTCCCCCAAGCCCCTGACCCCTCTCACGATCCCGCGATCCCACCCGGCGCCGGCAGATGAACAGATTTCATCGCTCCATCTCCCTCCTGGGTTGTGCGACCTCTCAGACGCACGCCCAGAGCCTCGTCCCTTGGCTCCCGCTAGGGGTCGGCACGGTTTGGCTCAAACCACCAAACCGCGGTTTGAACCGAACCAAATCGGTTTGGTTTGGCTCTGCTTGAACTGGTTCGGTTTGGTTTGGGGCTACGAAAACCGACTCGGTTTGGCTCGGACAGGGTGGAACCGGCTCAAACTAGTTTGGTTGGTTGTGAAGGCCGAGTACAGCAATATCAAGCACATGATGACGGACATTCTCAACCAGCGCTACCCAGCGTTGACGACGGACGCGGCGCCGAAGGCGGCGCCGCGTGGCGGCATTAACATCCTCTTTGACATGGTCTACGCGCCCAACGCTCACGACGGCGCCGCCTCCGAGGTCGACCGCTTCCTGCTTGAGCCGACTCAGGACCTGAGCATGGACGTCGTCGAGTGGTGGAAGCTGTACGGCGGCAAGTACCCGCGCCTGCGACGCGTGGCCCTCGACTATTTGCCTATCCCGGCGTCGTCCGTGCCCTCCGAGAGAGCAAACTCGGCCGCCAAGCGCTCCTTTCTCGACCGATCAAACCTGCACAAGTGCACGTTCAAGGCCGAGATGTGTGTGCGCTCGTGGGCGCGGATGTTGCCTAGTGTTGGGGTTTCCCTGCCATTGAACTACCACACTGCGTTCAAGGACATTGGGCGTGCCAAGCTTGAGGAGATGGCTGTGGACGACATCGTCGTCCAGTACTTGCTAGTGAATCTCAATATGAAGAAAGCCTGCGTAGAAATTAGCGATTAATACACTTGATATTTGTATTGAATGCGAATATTGTTTGCCGCGCATCTTTTCGGTTCAAGCCAACTCAAGAGGTTTGGTTTAGCTTAGTTTGGTTTGGTTTTGGTTTGGTTTGGTTCAGTCGTCGCTGGTTTAGTTTGGTTTGGTTTGCTCAATTTGAAACCAGTTTGAGTCGGTTCAAACCGTGCCGACCCCTAGCTCCCGCTCCGTTAAGATGGCGAGATGTTGACTACCTCGCCTGGTGTGCAGGAGGTCGTGGGTTCCATCCCGACCCTGACGCCTGCTGCTGTATATTTGGAGTTTGCATGTCTCTCTCTCATCATCATCACGATGGCTAGGAAATGTTAACTACCTCGCCTGGTGTACAGGAGGTCGTGGGTTCGATCCTGACCCTGTGACACCTGCTGCTGTATATTTGGAGTTTGCATGTCTCTCTCCCCGCGGTCGCGTGGATTTTTCTCCGGTTCCTTCGTTTTTTTCCCCTCCACGTAACTTGAAATCAACGTCGCCATGCGTTTAGGGTATTTGACTGCCTTACAGTTCCACGCGATGTTGGTGACCCACTTGGTGGAGCTATCATCCGTGATGGTCAGGTCGCTTCTGACGAAGAGCTGCACGTAGCCTTACCTGGTACAATGCAAAAAAAATAGTTTATAGTTTAGTAGAATAACAAATGGTTGAGTTTGATGCTTGATCACCGCTCGCCGTCCCGTCGAGGCATGAAGCGGCCTTCCCTCATTTCCGCTTAGCTTCTCTCCAGATCATCGCGATATATCCACTGCTGGATGAAGTTCAGCGTTGTTGTGTCATGTGCCTGCGTGTATTCTCTAATCCACGCGTCCCTGTGTGCATCCGTCCCTGTGTGCCTCTGTGTGTGTCCCCGTGTCTCCCTTCCCTCTCCACATGTCTCCTCCATGTGCCTCTCCATGTCTCCCAGTGTCTCATTGTGTCTCTCCGCGTCTCCCCGCGTCTCATCGTGTCTCCGCGTGCCTCCCCGTATCTCATCGTGTCTCCGCGTCTCCCCGTATCTCATCGTGTCTCCCCGTGTCTCATCGTGTCTCCGCGTGTCTCCCCGTGTCTCATTGTGTCTCCCCGTGTCTCATTGTGTCTCCCGGTGTCTCCCCGCGTCTAATCGTGTCTCCCCGCGTGTCTCCCCGCGTGTCTCCCCGCGTGTCTCCCCGCGTGTCTCCCCGCGTGTCTCCCCGCGTGTCTCCCCGCGTGTCTCCCCGCGTGTCTCCCCGCGTGTCCAGGTACTGGGACGCAGAGCTGCGGAGGGCCACGGCCCGGGGTTGCAGCCCGAGTCTCACCAAGGCGCTGTGGCGCTGCTACTGGAGACGCTACGCGCTGCTGGGCATCTTCACCCTGATGGAGGTCCTCCCTCTCCTCCCTGTGCACGCACACACAGAGATGCAGAGAGAGAGATGCAGAGAGAGAGATTCAGAGAGAAAGATGCAGAGAGACATGCAGAGAGATTCAGAGAGAGATGCAGAGAGACATGCAGAGAGATTCAGAGAGAGAGATTCAGAGAGAGATTCAGAAAGAGATGCAGAGAGAGAGATTCATAGATAGAGATGCAGAGAGAAAGACGCACATACATAGACATAACAGACTGTAGGGGCAAGTGCTGTTAGCGAGCACCGATGAAGGCCGGAACGGCACTCGAGGGGGTGGGTGGCCAGCACCACGCCCGACCACCTTTGTCTCCCTAAAGGCAATATTTACGCATTGCACCAGGTACTAATTTGAGGCTGAGTCGACCTAGGGGAGGCCCAGGACCGATTCAGATCATCGTCACTGGTGTTGGCTGTGAGCGGGAAACGAACTTGGGTTGCCGGGTTCGTAGCGCAGCGTCACGCTAACCGCTGAACGGCCGTTCCCTACATGCACACACACACACAAACAACAACAACAACAGCCGCCATTCGCCACTAAGTGACGGTGACGCCACCACGGCGCCTGTGCCAGACCAGGTGCACTTTGAGGCCACGTGAAGTGTTGAAGGCTTCGCTGACAGGAGGTCTCGGGACAGACGCAGGTGCCATGGGTTGGCAGACTTGAGACGACTTGCAGATACACCACTTTGCCAACTTTTATTGCTTTTTATCCGCCCGGCGCTCAGCTGGTTGTTGTGAGCGCCGCTCCTTTGCCCTCCGCTGTTGTTGGAGGGCGACTGCCTCCAACTTCCCGGTAGCAGCAGCAGCAGCGTGCATCCCTCTACATTTGAGAAGTGCTCTTCCCGGCCATTTTGCGAACAAAGCAGTGGGTCACCTTACCTGCCGACTGGGCAGTCGGCTCCGGTGACACTGGACGAGCAGGAGCTGACGCGTCACCAACGCTCGCGGCACCTGTGCGCTCCCCCAGCCGCCCTTGAGTGAGCCTCCCGCACCTCGCTCACACTTCCAGAGCGAGCCTCCCGCTCCTCGCTCACACATCCTGAGCGAGCCTCCCGCACCTCGCTCACACACCCTGAGCGAGCCTCCCGCAGCTCGCTCACACTTCCTGAGCGAGCCTCCCGCACCTCGCTCACACATCCTGAGCGAGCCTCCCGCACCTCGCTCACACTTCCTGAGCGAGCCTCCCGCACCTCGCTCACACTTCCTGAGCGAGCCTCCCGCACCTCGCTCACACACCCTGAGCGAGCCTCCCGCACCTCGCTCACACACCCTGAGCGAGCCTCCCGCTCCTCGCTCACACATCCTGAGTGAGCCTCCCGCTCCTCGCTCACACATCCTGAGCGAGCCTCCCGCAGCTCGCTCACACATCCTGAGCGAGCCTCCCGCAGCTCGCTCACACATCCTGAGCGAGCCTCCCGCTCCTCGCTCACACATCCTGAGCGAGCCTCCCGCTCCTCGCTCACACATCCTGAGCGAGCCTCCCGCGCCTCGCTCACACATCCCTGAGCGAGCCTCCCGCACCTCGCTCACACATCCTGAGCGAGCCTCCCGCTCCTCGCTCACACATCCTGAGCGAGCCTCCCGCACCTCGCTCACACACCCTGAGCGAGTCTCCCGCACCTCGCTCACACACCCTGAGCGAGTCTCCCGCACCTCGCTCACACATCCTGAGCGAGCCTCCCGCTCCTCGCTCACACATCCTGAGCGAGCCTCCCGCACCTCGCTCACACATCCTGAGCGAGCCTCCCGCTCCTCGCTCACACATCCTGAGCGAGCCTCCCGCACCTCGCTCACACACCCTGAGCGAGTCTCCCGCACCTCGCTCACACACCCTGAGCGAGCCTCCCGCACCTCGCTCACACATCCTGAGCGAGCCTCCCGCGCCTCGCTCACACACCCTGAGCGAGTCTCCCGCACCTCGCTCACACATCCTGAGCGAGCCTCCCGCTCCTCGCTCACACACCCTGAGCGAGTCTCCCGCACCTCGCTCACACATCCTGAGCGAGCCTCCCGCACCTCGCTCACACACCCTGAGCGAGCCTCCCGCAGCTCGCTCACACATCCTGAGCGAGCCTCCCGCTCCTCGCTCACACACCCTGAGCGAGCCTCCCGCACCTCACTCACACATCCTGAGCGAGCCTCCCGCACCTCGCTCACACACCCTGAGCGAGCCTCCCGCACCTCGCTCACACATCCTGAGGGAGCCTCCCGCACCTCGCTCACACATCCTGAGCGAGCCTCCCGCACCTCGCTCACACACCCTGAGCGAGCCTCCCGCAGCTCGCTCACACATCCTGAGCGAGCCTCCCGCTCCTCGCTCACACACCCTGAGCGAGCCTCCCGCACCTCGCTCACACATCCTGAGCGAGCCTCCCGCACCTCGCTCACACATCCTGAGCGAGCCTCCCGCGCCTCGCTCACACATCCCTGAGCGAGCCTCCCGCACCTTGCTCACACATCCTGAGCGAGCCTCCCGCACCTCGCTCACACTTCCTGAGCGAGCCTCCCGCACCTCGCTCACACACCCTGAGCGAGCCTCCCGCAGCTCGCTCACACACCCTGAGCGAGCCTCCCGCACCTCGCTCACACACCCTGAGCGAGCCTCCCGCTCCTCGCTCACACATCCTGAGTGAGCCTCCCGCTCCTCGCTCACACATCCTGAGCGAGCCTCCCGCAGCTCGCTCACACATCCTGAGCGAGCCTCCCGCTCCTCGCTCACACATCCTGAGCGAGCCTCCCGCTCCTCGCTCACACATCCTGAGCGAGCCTCCTGCGCCTCGCTCACACATCCCTGAGCGAGCCTCCCGCACCTCGCTCACACATCCTGAGCGAGCCTCCCGCTCCTCGCTCACACATCCTGAGCGAGCCTCCCGCACCTCGCTCACACACCCTGAGCGAGTCTCCCGCACCTCGCTCACACACCCTGAGCGAGTCTCCCGCACCTCGCTCACACATCCTGAGCGAGCCTCCCGCTCCTCGCTCACACATCCTGAGCGAGCCTCCCGCACCTCGCTCACACATCCTGAGCGAGCCTCCCGCTCCTCGCTCACACATCCTGAGCGAGCCTCCCTCACCTCGCTCACACACCCTGAGCGAGTCTCCCGCACCTCGATCACACATCCTGAGCGAGCCTCCCGCTCCTCGCTCACACATCCTGAGCGAGTCTCCCGCACCTCGCTCACACATCCTGAGTGAGCCTCCCGCGCCTCGCTCACACACCCTGAGCGAGTCTCCCGCACCTCGCTCACACATCCTGAGCGAGCCTCCCGCTCCTCGCTCACACACCCTGAGCGAGTCTCCCGCACCTCGCTCACACATCCTGAGCGAGCCTCCCGCTCCTCGCTCACACATCCTGAGCGAGCCTCCCGCACCTCGCTCACACATCCTGAGCGAGCCTCCCGCTCCTCGCTCACACATCCTGAGCGAGCCTCCCGCGCCTCGCTCACACACCCTGAGCGAGCCTCCCGCTCCTCGCTCACACACCCTGAGCGAGTCTCCCGCACCTCGCTCACACATCCTGAGCGAGCCTCCCGCACCTCGCTCACACACCCTGAGCGAGCCTCCCGCAGCTCGCTCACACATCCTGAGCGAGCCTCCCGCTCCTCGCTCACACACCCTGAGCGAGCCTCCCGCACCTCACTCACACATCCTGAGCGAGCCTCCCGCTCCTCGCTCACACATCCTGAGCGAGTCTCCCGCACCTCGCTCACACACCCTGAGTGAGCCTCCCGCGCCTCGCTCACACACCCTGAGCGAGTCTCCCGCACCTCGCTCACACATCCTGAGCGAGCCTCCCGCTCCTCGCTCACACACCCTGAGCGAGTCTCCCGCACCTCGCTCACACATCCTGAGCGAGCCTCCCGCTCCTCGCTCACACATCCTGAGCGAGCCTCCCGCACCTCGCTCACACATCCTGAGCGAGCCTCCCGCTCCTCGCTCACACATCCTGAGCGAGCCTCCCGCGCCTCGCTCACACACCCTGAGTGAGCCTCCCGCGCCTCGCTCACACACCCTGAGCGAGTCTCCCGCACCTCGCTCACACATCCTGAGCGAGCCTCCCGCTCCTCGCTCACACACCCTGAGCGAGTCTCCCGCACCTCGCTCACACATCCTGAGCGAGCCTCCCGCTCCTCGCTCACACATCCTGAGCGAGCCTCCCGCACCTCGCTCACACATCCTGAGCGAGCCTCCCGCTCCTCGCTCACACATCCTGAGCGAGCCTCCCGCTCCTCGCTCACACATCCTGAGCGAGCCTCCCGCGCCTCGCTCACACACCCTGAGCGAGTCTCCCGCACCTCGCTCACACATCCTGAGCGAGCCTCCCGCTCCTCGCTCACACATCCTGAGCGAGTCTCCCGCACCTCGCTCACACACCCTGAGTGAGCCTCCCGCGCCTCGCTCACACACCCTGAGCGAGTCTCCCGCACCTCGCTCACACATCCTGAGCGAGCCTCCCGCTCCTCGCTCACACACCCTGAGCGAGTCTCCCGCACCTTGCTCACACACCCTGAGTGAGCCTCCCACGCCTCGCTCACACACCCTGAGCGAGTCTCCCGCACCTCGCTCACACATCCTGAGCGAGCCTCCCGCTCCTCGCTCACACACCCTGAGCGAGTCTCCCGCACCTCGCTCACACATCCTGAGCGAGCCTCCCGCACCTCGCTCACACACCCTGAGCGAGCCTCCCGCAGCTCGCTCACACATCCTGAGCGAGCCTCCCGCGCCTCGCTCACACACCCTGAGCGAGCCCCCCGCACCTCGCTCACACATCCTGAGCGAGCCTCCCGCACCTCGCTCACACACCCTGAGCGAGCCTCCCGCACCTCGCTCACACATCCTGAGGGAGCCTCCCGCACCTCGCTCACACATCCTGAGCGAGCCTCCCGCACCTCGCTCACACACCCTGAGCGAGCCTCCCGCAGCTCGCTCACACATCCTGAGCGAGCCTCCCGCTCCTCGCTCACACACCCTGAGCGAGCCTCCCGCACCTCGCTCACACATCCTGAGCGAGCCTCCCGCACCTCGCTCACACATCCTGAGCGAGCCTCCCACGCCTCGCTCACACATCCCTGAGCGAGCCTCCCGCACCTCGCTCACACATCCTGAGCGAGCCTCCCGCGCCTCGCTCACACATCCTGAGCGAGCCTCCCGCACCTTGCTCACACATCCTGAGCGAGCCTCCCGCTCCTCGCTCACACATCCTGAGCGAGCCTCCCGCACCTCGCTCACACACCCTGAGCGAGTCTGCCGCACCTCGCTCACACACCCTGAGCGAGTCTCCCGCACCTCGCTCACACATCCTGAGCGAGCCTCCCGCTCCTCGCTCACACATCCTGAGCGAGCCTCCCGCACCTCGCTCACACATCCTGAGCGAGCCTCCCGCTCCTCGCTCACACATCCTGAGCGAGCCTCCCGCACCTCGCTCACACACCCTGAGCGAGTCTCCCGCACCTCGCTCCCACATCCTGAGCGAGCCTCCCGCTCCTCGCTCACACATCCTGAGCGAGTCTCCCGCACCTCGCTCACACACCCTGAGTGAGCCTCCCGCGCCTCGCTCACACACCCTGAGCGAGTCTCCCGCACCTCGCTCACACATCCTGAGCGAGCCTCCCGCTCCTCGCTCACACACCCTGAGCGAGTCTCCCGCACCTCGCTCACACATCCTGAGCGAGCCTCCCGCTCCTTGCTCACACATCCTGAGCGAGTCTCCCGCACCTCGCTCACACATCCTGAGCGAGCCTCCCGCTCCTCGCTCACACATCCTGAGCGAGCCTCCCGCGCCTCGCTCACACACCCTGAGCGAGTCTCCCGCACCTCGCTCACACATCCTGAGCGAGCCTCCCGCTCCTCGCTCACACATCCTGAGCGAGTCTCCCGCACCTCGCTCACACACCCTGAGTGAGCCTCCCGCGCCTCGCTCACACACCCTGAGCGAGTCTCCCGCACCTCGCTCACACATCCTGAGCGTGCCTCCCGCTCCTCGCTCACACACCCTGAGCGAGCCTCCCGCACCTCGCTCACACATCCTGAGCGAGCCTCCCGCTCCTCGCTCACACACCCTGAGCGAGTCTCCCGCACCTCGCTCACACATCCTGAGCGAGCCTCCCGCTCCTCGCTCACACATCCTGAGCGAGCCTCCCGCACCTCGCTCACACATCCTGAGCGAGCCTCCCGCTCCTCGCTCACACATCCTGAGCGAGCCTCCCGCGCCTCGCTCACACACCCTGAGTGAGCCTCCCGCGCCTCGCTCACACACCCTGAGCGAGTCTCCCGCACCTCGCTCACACATCCTGAGCGAGCCTCCCGCTCCTCGCTCACACACCCTGAGCGAGTCTCCCGCACCTCGCTCACACATCCTGAGCGAGCCTCCCGCTCCTCGCTCACACATCCTGAGCGAGCCTCCCGCACCTCGCTCACACATCCTGAGCGAGCCTCCCGCTCCTCGCTCACACATCCTGAGCGAGCCTCCCGCGCCTCGCTCACACACCCTGAGCGAGTCTCCCGCACCTCGCTCACACATCCTGAGCGAGCCTCCCGCTCCTCGCTCACACATCCTGAGCAAGTCTCCCGCACCTCGCTCACACACCCTGAGTGAGCCTCCCGCGCCTCGCTCACACACCCTGAGCGAGTCTCCCGCACCTCGCTCACACATCCTGAGCGAGCCTCCCGCTCCTCGCTCACACACCCTGAGCGAGTCTCCCGCACCTCGCTCACACACCCTGAGTGAGCCTCCCGCGCCTCGCTCACACACCCTGAGCGAGTCTCCCGCACCTCGCTCACACATCTTGAGCGAGCCTCCCGCTCCTCGCTCACACACCCTGAGCGAGTCTCCCGCACCTCGCTCACACATCCTGAGCGAGCCTCCCGCACCTCGCTCACACACCCTGAGCGAGCCTCCCGCAGCTCGCTCACACATCCTGAGCGAGCCTCCCGCTCCTCGCTCACACACCCTGAGCGAGCCTCCCGCACCTCACTCACACATCCTGAGCGAGCCTCCCGCACCTCGCTCACACATCCTGAGCGAGCCTCCCGCACCTCGCTCACACACCCTGAGCGAGCCTCCCGCACCTCGCTCACACATCCTGAGGGAGCCTCCCGCACCTCGCTCACACATCCTGAGCGAGCCTCCCGCACCTCGCTCACACACCCTGAGCGAGCCTCCCGCAGCTCGCTCACACATCCTGAGCGAGCCTCCCGCTCCTCGCTCACACACCCTGAGCGAGCCTCCCGCACCTCGCTCACACATCCTGAGCGAGCCTCCCGCACCTCGCTCACACATCCTGAGCGAGCCTCCCGCGCCTCGCTCACACATCCTGAGCGAGCCTCCCACACCTCGCTCACACATCCTGAGCGAGCCTCCCGCACCTCGCTCACACACCCTGAGCGAGCCTCCCGCAGCTCGCTCACACATCCTGAGCGAGCCTCCCGCTCCTCGCTCACACACCCTGAGCGAGCCTCCCGCACCTCACTCACACATCCTGAGCGAGCCTCCCGCACCTCGCTCACACACCCTGAGCGAGCCTCCCGCACCTCGCTCACACATCCTGAGCGAGCCTCCCGCTCCTCGCTCACACACCCTGAGCGAGTCTCCCACACCTCGCTCACACATCCTGAGCGAGCCTCCCGCACCTCGCTCACACACCCTGAGCGAGCCTCCCGCAGCTCGCTCACACATCCTGAGCGAGCCTCCCGCTCCTCGCTCACACACCCTGAGCGAGCCTCCCGCACCTCACTCACACATCCTGAGCGAGCCTCCCGCACCTCGCTCACACACCCTGAGCGAGCCTCCCGCACCTCGCTCACACATCCTGAGGGAGCCTCCCGCACCTCGCTCACACATCCTGAGCGAGCCTCCCGCACCTCGCTCACACACCCTGAGCGAGCCTCCCGCAGCTCGCTCACACATCCTGAGCGAGCCTCCCGCTCCTCGCTCACACACCCTGAGCGAGCCTCCCGCACCTCGCTCACACATCCTGAGCGAGCCTCCCGCACCTCGCTCACACATCCTGAGCGAGCCTCCCGCACCTCGCTCACACATCCTGAGCGAGCCTCCCGCTCCTCGCTCACACATCCCTGAGCGAGCCTCCCGCACCTCGCTCACACATCCTGAGCGAGCCTCCCGCGCCCCGCTCACACATCCCTGAGCGAGCCTCCCGCACCTTGCTCACACATCCTGAGCGAGCCTCCCGCGCCTCGCTCACACATCCTGAGCGAGCCTCCCGCACCTCGCTCACACACCGTGAGCGAGCCTCCCGCACCTCGCTCACACATCCCTGAGCGAGCCTCCCTCACCTCGCTCACACATCCTGAGCGAGCCTCCCGCACCTCGCTCACACATTTTTTTGTCGAGCGCAGTCCCGTCCCCGCGGCCATCCGACTCCGGAGTGGGGACCGAGAGAGAGGGCCGGTTGGAATTTCGAGTTTCTTTCAACGCACGCACAGACAGACTCACACGCATGCACGCCCACACACACGTGCTGGGCTTACAAGGGGGCGATGGTGCGTCTGCGCGTGTCCGCGGGTGTCCACATGTCCGTCTGTCTGTATGTCCGCGTGTCTGCGTGTCCGTGTCCCCAATGCCCGCGTGTCCCGCGTGTCCACATGCCTCCCGTGTTTCTGCGTGTCCGACGTGTCCCAACGTGTCCCAACGTGTCCCCACGCGTGCCCCAAGTGTCCCCAACGTGTCCCAAGTGCCCCACGTGTCCCCCCCCCCCCCCCCCCCCCCCCGCTCCTTGCTGCAGGAGTCTGTGCGCGTGGTGCAGCCGCTGCTGCTGGGCAAGCTGCTCAACTACTTCGAGGGGACGCTGCAGGGCTCCGAGACGGTGCCCCCGCGCCTGGCGGCCTTCCTGTACGCGGGCGGCATCTCGCTGTGCGCACTCACCTTCGCCATCACGCACCACCTCTACTTCCTGCATGTACAGCTCGCCGGCATGCGCATCCGCGTCGCGCTCTGCCACATGGTCTACCGCAAGGTGCGCGCGCGCGTTAGCGGCCCTCCGTCAAGAGTTCTTTTCAAGTTTTCTTTCATTTGGTGTCGCTCTGTGAGTCATGCGACTCTTGAGTCGGGTGCAACCGCCACAAACAAAATATGAACGGAGAGCATCTTAAAGCGACGATAAACCAGCAAATCTTCCACACAAAAAAAACGCGGTGTGAATACATCCCAGTCTGATGCAAGTCAAACAATAACCATAATACAATTTAGATTACCAATATGTTTTCGAAATCACCAAAATAACGCTCTAAAAACAATGTAACAACAGTAATCATAAGAACTGTGATTTAAATTTAACAATATATATAACATGTACGACCAAACTAAATGACGTCATGCACCGAGGGGGGGGGGAGGTCAGACATTTGTGACGATGTGTGACGAGGGGGGGAGGGGGGGGGGTTGAGATATGTGATGTGACGTCAAAATGCGCAACTTTAAATATAACCAACACGTTCTACTTAATTAAATAGAATTATAACACGCTCACAAGCATGTGTGAGTACGTGCGGTGTATCACACACATAGTAGTGCAGCGGTTAGCGGCGTTCTGCACTACGACCCAGAGTGCGATTGCCGCTCATAATCAGCATCAGAATCTTTATTCATCCTTTGAGAAATCCGATGAGCCGTGAAGCTCTTTATCACACACGTCCAGTAGTTTCACAGATGACCTGTGCTGCTTAAGGCCACCAACATCCATGACGGATATCTAAATCACTCCTGGTCCTGCCCTAGGTCGACTCGGCCTCAAATGAGTAGCTGGTGCTGTGTATAAAACATCGCCACTGGGGAGACGAAGGCGGCCGGGCGCGGTGTTGGCCACCCACCCCCTCGTGTGCTTTGCTCGCATTCATAGGTGCTACTCGCTAACAGCACTTGCCCCAGCAGTCTGTTAAGGCTATGTGTGGGGGTCCTTCGTCTTTGATTAGGTAAGTGAGTGAATGACTGATGTGTTGCTTAGGTGAGTGAGTGAATGAATGAGTGATTTACTGGGTTAGTGCATGCTTAAATGATTGATGGATTGTGTGAATCGGTAAGCAAATTGGTGAATTAATTGGTAAATGAGTGTATGAATAAGTCATTGAGTGAATGAGTGATTGGGTGAGTAAGTGAGTGAGTAAATGAGTGATTGGGTGAGTGAGTGAGTATGTGAGTGAGTGATTGAGTGAAAGTGAATGAGTGAGTGTGCTAGTGTGCGAGTGAGTGACTGAGTGAATATGAGTGAGTGTCTGAGTGAGTAAGTGAATGAGTGGGTGTCCGTGCCCTCCCACACAGGCTCTGCGCTTGAGCACTGCGGCGATGAGTCGCACGACCACGGGGCAGATAGTCAACCTGCTGTCCAACGACGTCAACCGCTACGACCAGGTGTCCACCGCTCACACACCTGCTCACTCGCTCGCTCACCCACGTACTTGCTCACTCGTTCACACACGCATTCGGTCACATACTCCCACAACTCTGAATAGCACGGATAGCTACGTGCAGTGCGAAAGAAGTTCAGCATACATACACTGACCTAACCACTTACCTATCTACTCATCGATGTGCTCACTACGCTCGCTCCCCACTCACCCACTCATCCACCCACCAAAACATCTGTTGTGGGTTCTAATCAGGTGCACACCAGAGTGCCGTGGCCCCCGTGGAACCCCGTTCCCGAAGCCGGCACCCCCCTTGCACCCCATCCTGTAGGGGCTGGCACTGCACCCAGCGCAGGGTGGTGCCTTTCTCAGGCTGGTCACACACAGCGACATCCAGCGATGTCGCTACACATCCACCAACTCACCCACCCAACCACGCACCCACGCATGCACCCACCCACACAACCACACACCCACCCACCCACCCACACATCCACCCACCCACCCACACACCCACCCACCCACGCATGCACCCACCCACCCACACAACCACACACCCACCCACCCACCCACACATACCCACGCACGCATCCACCCACGCACCCACACACCCACCTATACACCCACTCACTGTCCTCCCCGTGTGTGCATGTGTGTGCATGTGTGTGTGTGTGCGCATGTGTGTGCGTGTGTGCGTGTGTGCGCATGTGTGTGCGTGTGTACGTGTGTGTGTGTGCATGCGTGTGCGTGTGTGCATGTGCGTGCGTGTGCGTGTGTGCGTGTGTGTGCGTGCGTGTGCAGGTGACGGTGTTCCTGCACTACCTGTGGTCGGCGCCGCTGCAGACGGCCGTGGTGGTGGTGCTGCTGTGGCAGGAGGTGGGCGTCGCCTGCCTCGCCGGCGTCGCCGTCCTCGCTCTCCTCATGCCCGTGCAGTCCTTCATCGGCAGCGTCTTCTCACGCCTCCGGTGGGGGGGCCACGCCTTCTCCTCCTCCCCCCTCCCCTCCTTCCTCCTCCTCCCTCCTGTCCCCTTCCTCCCCCTCCTCCCCCTCCTCCCCCTCCTCCCTCCTCCTCCCCCTCCTCCCCCCTCCTCCCCCTCCTCCCCCCTCCTCCCCCTCCTCCTCCCCCCTCCCGTCCCCTTCCTCCCCCTCCTCCCCCTCCTCCCCCCTCCTCCTCCCCTCTCCTCCCCCACCTCTCTCTACTCCTCTCCCCTCCTCCCCCCTCCTCCTGCCCCCTCCTCCTCCTTCCTCCTCTCCCCTCCTCCACCCTCCTCCTGCCCCCTCCTCCCCCTTCCTCCTCCCCCCCTCCAATAACGATGGTGGCAATGAGGATGGTGGCAATGACGATTGTGGCAATGAAGATGGTAGCAATGACGATGTGGCAATGATGATGATGGCAATGACGATGGTGACAGTGACGATGGTGACGATGACAATGGTGATGATGACGATGATGGCAGTGACGATGGTGGCAATGATGATAATGACCACGTGTGGGATGGCGACGTTGCTGCTAAAGACGACGACGATGATGGTGGCGGCGTTGCGAATTGTTTCATCGCAGGTCCAAGACGGCGCGACACACGGACTCGCGGATCCGCACGATGAACGAGGTGGTGGCGGGGATGAGGATCATCAAGATGTACGCTTGGGAGAACCCCTTTTCTCTCCTCGTGGCCTCCATCCGCCGGTACGTGCACCACCTCGTCGCAGTGCCCCGCCAACCTCACCCCCTCCAGCCTGGAGCTGTCTCTGGTGCTGAGTGACTCTGTGACCCTCACCCCTCCAGCCTGGAGCTGTCTCTGGTGCTGAGTGTCTCTGTGACCCTCATCACCTCCAGCCTGGAGCTGTCCCTGGTGCTGAGTGACTCTGTGACCGTCACCCCTCCAGCCTGGAGCTGTCTCTGGAGCTGAGTGACTCTGTGACCCTCACCCCTCCAGCCTGGAGCTGTCCCTGGTGCTGAGTGACTCTGTGACCCTCACCCCTCCATGATGGAGCTGTCCCTGGTGCTGAGTGACTCTGTGACCCTCACCCCCTCCAGCCTGGAGCTGTCTCTGGTGCTGAGTGTCTCTGTGACCCTCACCCCTCCAGCCTGGAGCTGTCCCTGGTGCTGAGTGTCTCTGTGACCCTCACCCCTCCAGCCTGGAGCTGTCCGTGGTGCTGAGTGACTTTGTGACCCTCACCCCTCCAGCCTGGAGCTGTCCCTGGTGCTGAGTGACTCTGTGACCCTCACCCCCTCCAGCCTGGAGCTGTCTCTGGTGCTGAGTGTCTCTGTGACCCTCACCCCCTCCAGCCTGGAGCTGTCTCTGGTGCTGAGTGAGACCCTCACCCCTCCAGCCTGGAGCTGTCCATGGAGCTGAGTGACTCTGTGACCCTCACCCCCTCCATGATGGAGCTGTTACTGGTGCTGAGTGTCTCTGTGACCCTCACCACCTCCAGCCTGGAGCTGTCTCTGGAGCTGAGTGTCTCTGTGACCCTCACCCCTCCAGCCTGGAGCTGTCCCTGGTGCTGAGTGTCTCTGTGACTCTCATCACCTCCAGCCTGGAGCTGTCTCTGGTGTTGAGTGACTCTGTGACCCTCATCACCTCCATGATGGAGCTGTCCGTGGTTCTGACCGCCGTCTCGCCACGTCTCCCTCCCGCCAGGTTGGAGGTCTCCAAGGTGCTGAAGGCCTCCCTGCTGCGCGGCATGAACATGGCCTGGTTCTTCATGGCCGGCAAGCTCATCCTGTTTTTCACGTTCATGACGTACTCGCTCATGGGCCACCCCATCACGGCGGCGCGCGTCTTCGTGGCGGTGTCGCTGTACAACGCCGTGCGCCTCACCGTCACCCTCTTCTTCCCCTCCGCCATCCAGGCCACGTCCGAGGCCCTCGTCAGCAACAACCGCATCCAGGTGTCGTGGTGGGGGGGGGGGGGGGGCGGGGGGGGGGGGTTGGGGGGTGGATGGGGGGTAGGGGGTACAGTTGGCTGCCAAGGCTGCGTTGGCAGGCAAGGCTACGTTGGCTGGGCCATTTGGCCCACATGTCCAGCCACCGCATGCCTAAACAGCTTTTGTTCGACCGGATCGAGGGGGCTAGACGGGCGCGGCACGGGCTAGAGAAGAGATGGAGTGATGCGGTACAGGAGGACGTGGAGCTGAGTGGACTTGCCGATGACTGGTACCAGCGGTGTCAAGATCGGCCTCTGTGGAGGAGGCTCGTTAAGGACGCTACTGGGCAGTTGGAGGCAGTCGCCCTCCAGCAACAACGGAGGGCGGAGGAGCGATGCTCACAACAATGAGTGGAGCGCCGGGTGGATAAAATGCGACGAGTTAGCACAGTGGGGTGCATCTGCCAGTCATCTCAGTCAGCCAACCCATGGCACTTGGGTCTGTCCTGTGACCCCCTTTCAGCGAGCCTTCGACACTTCACGTGGCCTCAAAGTGCACCTGGCCTGGCACAGGCGCCGTGGTGACGCCACCGTCACTTAGTGGCGAATGGCGGCTGTTGTTGTTGTTGTTGTGTGTACTCACATGTGCATGTAGGGAACGGCATGTCGTCGGCCTCTCCTCGGTCGGCCTCAAATGAGTACCCGGTGCGCTGTGTAAACATCGCCACTGGGAGACAACGGCGGCCGAGCGTGGTGCTGGCCACCCACCCCCTCGTGTGCCGTGTCGGCCTTCATAGGTGCTACTCGCTAACAGCACTTGGCCCAACAGCTGTTACAGGCTATGCGGGGGACCTTTGCGTGTAATGTATGGGGAGTGGTGGCGGCGCAGTTAGTGTACTGCTCTACCCGAGTTGAAATTCCAGCTCATGAACAACATCAGCGACGGATATCTGAATCCGGTTCTGGGCCTCCCCTAGGTCGACTCGGCCTCACATGAGTACCCGGTGTAGTGTGTAAACATCGCGGCCTGACGTGGTGCTGGCCACCCACCCCCTCGTGTGCCGTGTCGGCCTTCACGGGTGCTGCTCACCAACAGCACTTGCCCCAACAGTACGTTTAAGGCTACGCGGGGGATCTTTGTCTTTTGTGCAGACATTCCTCATGCTGGATGAGATTGTTGAGAATGCTAACCAGGAGGAGGAGGAGGAAGAGAGGAGGGAGGAGGAGGAGGAGGGGAAGGAGAAGGGGGAGAACGGGCCGGTGGGTGGAGACCGGACTCCGTTCATCGCCGTGGAGAACATCTCCTGCAGCTGGGACAAGGTACGGCTCGCAGGGAGCGACGCGCCCTGCCCAGTGGGGATTGGCCAGGTTGGAGCCCCGCTCGACAGAAATGAGGAAGTGAATCCCGCTCATCCTGCAGCCGGCCACGCTTACTCACACTCACTTGAACCCACTCACTGTCACTCACTCTCACACACACACACTCCCTCTCACACTAAGTGGCGGTGATGTCACCACGACGCTTGTGCCAGGCTATGTGTACGTTGAGGCCATGGGAAGTGTCGAATGCTCGCTGGCAGACCCAGATTCCACGGGTCGACTGATTGGGATGACTGGCTGATGCACCACCTGTGCCCCCTACTGTGCCAACTTGCTGTGCTTTAGCCACCTGGCGCTCCACTCGTTGTTGTGAGCATCGCTCCTCCGTCCTCCGTTGTTGTTGGAGGACGACTGCCTCCAACTGCCCAGTAGCGTCCTTCACGAGCCTCCTCCACTGAGGCCGATCTTGACACCGCTGGTACCAGTCATCGGCAAGTCCACTCAGCTCCACGTCCTCCTGTACCACGTCACTCCATCTCTTCACTCGCCCGTGCCGCGCCCATTTAGCCCCCGCGATCCGGCCGAACAAAAGTTGTTTAGGCATGCGGTGGCTGGGCATGCGGGCTACATGGCCCAGCCAACGCAGCCTTGCCTGCCGGAGGAGCTCACCGATGGGACTTTGTCCAGATCTTTCAAGGATTATGTGAGCTCCTCACACAATCCAGCCTGGTTAAACCCAGGATGGATCGTAGGCAGGCCAGCCTAAATGTTTCTAACCGGCGAAGATGTTCCATTAGGGGGGTCCACGTTTCGCAAGCGTATCACACACACTCACTCTGACACGTAGTTAGCACAAAAACACAAATTCCCCGTAGAGCCTTAACAGACTGTTTGGAGCAAGTGCTGTTAGCAAGAGACAAAGACACACGCACACACACTCACCCTCTCACCTTTTCACAGATACTCACTCAGAGACACTCACACACACACAACAATGACAAAGGTGCCCACATAGCCTTTAACAGACTGTTGGGGCAAGTGGTGTTGTGTGTAACTCGTGGTGACGAGGCTCGCCCTGCCGCGTGCCGGGGTGCAGGACTCGCCGGACGTGCGGGCGCTGGACTCGATCTCCTTCGCCGTGGGGCCCGGCGAGCTCGTCGCCATCATCGGCCCCGTGGGGGCGGGAAAGGTCGGGAGGGGGGCGGGGGGAGGGGGGGGCGGGGGGGAGGGGGAGGCGGGGGGGAGGGGGATGGGGGGCGGGTGGAACGGGGGGGGTGTGGGGGGGGGTGTTGACAATGTGGGGGGCGGGGGAGAGGGGTGGCAATGTGGGGGAGGCAGTGGGGGGAGGGGGCGGATGGCAATGTGGGGGTGGGGGGGGCGGGGAGGGCGGGGGGGAGGGGGGGGCGGCAGGATGGGGGGGGGTGTGGGACGGGCAGCAAGGCGTGCCGTGCCGGCCTTCATAGGAGCCACTCGCTAACAGCGCTTGCCCCAACAGCCTCTTGACGGCTGTACGGGGGGGGGGGGGTCTGTGTGTGTGTACCTGTGTGTGTGTGTGTGTACCTGTGTGTGTGTGTGTACCTGTGTGTGTGTGTACCTGTGTGTGTGTGTGTGAGGGTGTGTGTGTGTACCTGTGTGTGTGTGTGTGTGTGTACCTGTGTGTGTGTGTGTGTACCTGTGTGTGTGTACCTGTGTGTGTGCGTGTGAGTGTGTGTGTGTACCTGTGTGAGTGTGTGTGTGTACCTGTGTGAGTGTGTGTGTGTGTACCTGTGTGTGTGTGTACCTGTGTGAGTGTGTGTGTACCTGTGTGTGTGTGTGTGTACCTGTGTGTGTGTGTGTGTACCTGTGTGTGTGTGTGTGTACCTGTGTCTGTGTGTGTGTGTGTCTGTGTGTGTCTGTGTGTGTGTGTACCTGTGTGTGTGTGTACCTGTGTGAGTGTGTGTGTGTGTACCTGTGTGTGTGTGTACCTGTGTGTGTGTGTACCTGTGTGTGTACCTGTGTGTGTGTGTACCTGTGTGTGTGTGTGTACCTGTGTGTGTGTGTGTACCTGTGTGTGTGTGTACCTGTGTGTGTGTGTGAGTGTGTCTGTGTGTGAGTGTGTGTCTGTGTGTGAGTGTGTCTGTGTGAGTGTGTGTGTGTGTACCTGTGTGTGTGAGTGTATCTGTGTGTGTGTGTACCTGTGTGTATGTGTGTACCTGTGTGTGTGTGTGTACCTGTGTGTGTGAGTGTACCTGTGTGTGTGAGTGTGTGTGTGAGTGTCTGTGTGTGAGTGTGTGTGTGTACCTGTGTCTGTGTGTGTACCTGTGTGTGTGTGTGAGTGTGTGTGTGAGTGTGTGTGTGTGTACCTGTGTTTGTGAGTGTGTCTGTGTGTCTGTGTGTGTGTGTGAGTGTGTCTGTGTGTGTGTGTGAGTGTGTGTGTGAGTGTGTCTGTGTGTGTGTGTCTGTGTACCTGCGTGTGTGAGTGTGTCTGTGTGTGTGTGGGGAGCCGTGGCGGAGCGGTCAGCGCGCCGCGCTCCCGACCCGGCGACGACCCCAGCTGGTCACCCGCCCACCGCGGCCCCTGCATCCCTCTCACGGCTCCGCCTGGGACCCCTTTGCCTTTACCTCTGTCCTGCAGTCGTCCCTGCTGAGCGCCCTGCTGGGCGAGCTGCCGTGCTCGCTGGGCCGCGTGCGGGCGCGGGGCCGCGTGGCCTACGCCTGCCAGCAGCCCTGGGTGTTCCCCGACACGGTGCGGCAGAACATCGTGTTCGGGGCGGCGTACGAGCGCGCGCGCTACGAGCGCGTCGTGCGCGCCTGCTCCCTGCGCAAGGTGCGGCCATAACCACAACACGGTGACCCCTGCGTGACCCCTGCGTGACCCCTGCGTGACCCCCCCCATGTGACCCCCCCCATGTGACCCCCCCCCCCTTGTGACCCGTCCATGTGACCCGCCCATGTGACCCGCCCATGTGACCCCCGCGTGAGCGTGCAGGATTTTGAGATGATGTCCGAGGGAGACTTGACCCTCATCGGAGACCGTGGGGTCACGCTGAGTGGTGGACAGAAAGCGCGCATTAACCTTGCCCGGTGAGGCTCGCTCGCTCACCCACTCGCCCGCTCACCCGCTCACCCGCTCACCAATTCGCTTACCCATTCACCAACTCATTCACCTGCTCGCTCACCTGCTCACCCACTCGCCCACTCGCCCACTTGCTCACCCGCTCACTCGCCCACTTGCTCACCCGCTCACTCGCCCACTCACCCGCTGTCTTATCCAGCTGACTCACCCACTAACGCACCCGATCACTCACTCACTAGCTCACTTGGTAACCTACTCGCTCACCCACATGCTCACTCACTCACTCGGCAACCTACTCACTCACCCAATCACCAACTCGCCCACTCGCTCACTCACTCACTTGCCTCCTCGCTCACTCAGCAACCTACTCACTGGTTGTGACTGTGGCTGTGTGGTTGTGTGGTTGTGGCTGTGTGGTTGTGTGGTTGTGATTGTGTGGTTGTGATTGTGGTTGTGATTGTGGTTGTGATTGTGGTTGTGATTGTGGTTGTGATTGTGGTTGTGTTGTTGTGATTGTGTGGTTGTGATTGTGGTTGTGTGGTTGTGATTGTGGTTGTGTTGTTGTGATTGTGTGGTTGTGATTGTGGTTGTGTGGTTGTGTGGTTGTGATTGTGGTTGTGATTGTGGTTGTGATTGTGGTTGTGATTGTGGTTGTGATTGTGGTTGTGATTGTGGTTGTGTTGTTGTGATTGTGTGGTTGTGATTGTGGTTGTGTGGTTGTGATTGTGGTTGTGTTGTTGTGATTGTGTGGTTGTGATTGTGGTTGTGTGGTTGTGATTGTGTGGTTGTGATTGTGGTTGTGTTGTTGTGATTGTGTGGTTGTGATTGTGGTTGTGTGGTTGTGATTGTGGTTGTGTGGTTGTGATTGTGTGGTTGTGATTGTGGTTGTGTGGTTGTGATTGTGGTTGTGTGGTTGTGATTGTGTGGTTGTGATTGTGGTTGTGTGGTTATGACTGTGGTTGTGTGGTTGTGATTGTGGTTGTGATTGTGGTTGTGTTGTTGTGATTGTGTGGTTGTGACTGTGGTTGTGTGGTTGTGATTGTGGTTGTGATTGTGGTTGTGATTGTGGTTGTGATTGTGGTTGTGATTGTGGTTGTGATTGTGGTTGTGATTGTGGTTGTGATTGTGTGGTTGTGTGGTTGTGATTGTGGTTGTGATTGTGGTTGTGTTGTTGTGATTGTGTGGTTGTGATTGTGGTTGTGTGGTTGTGATTGTGTGGTTGTGATTGTGGTTGTGTGGTTATGACTGTGGTTGTGTGGTTGTGATTGTGGTTGTGATTGTGGTTGTGATTGTGGTTGTGATTGTGGTTGTGATTGTGGTTGTGATTGTGTGGTTGTGTGGTTGTGATTGTGTGGTTGTGATTGTGGTTGTGTGGTTGTGTGTTTAAAACTGTGGTTGTGTGGTTGTGGTTGTGTGCTTGTGACTGGTTGTGTAGTTGTAGCTGTGTGGTTGTGACTGTGATTGTATGGTCGTGACTGTGGTTGTGTGGTTGTGCGGTTGTGTGGCTGTTTGGTTGTGCGGTTGTTGCTGTGTGGTTGTCGCCGTGGTTGTGTGGTTGTGTGGTCACCGTGGTTGTCCTAGTGGTTGTGTGGTTGTTGCTGTGTGGTTGTGTGGTTGTTACTGTGTGGTTGTGTTGTTGTGTGGTTGTGTGGTTGTTGCTGTGTGGTTGTGTTGTTGTGTGGTTGTTGCGTTGTGGTTGTTGCGTTGTGGTTGTTGCGTTGTGGCTGTGTAGTTGTTGCGTTGTGGTTGTGTGGTTGTCACCGTGGTTGTGTGGTTGTGTAGTTGTTGCGTTGTGGTTGTGTGGTTGTCACCGTGGTTGTGTGGTTGTGTAGTTGTTGCGTTGTGGTTGTGTGGTTGCCCAGGGCGGTTTACCAGGACGCTGATCTCTACCTCCTGGATGATCCGCTCAGCGCCGTCGACGCAGAAGTTGGGAGAGCGCTCTTTGAGAAGTGAGGCTCAACGTCGCCTCGTCACCACGTCATCAGGTCACGGGTCGCGGGGTCACAGGTCATCACGGCACCAGGTCACCAGGTCACGGGGTTACCAGGTCACCAGGTGACCTCATCACCACGTCACCACGTCACCAGGTCACCAGGTGACCTCATCACCACGTCACCAGGTCACCAGTTACCTTATTACCAGGTCACGGCATCACCTGTGACGGTTATCTGAACCGGTCCTGGGTCTCCCCTAGGTCGACTCGGCCTCAATTGAGTACGTGGTGCGGTGTGTAAACATCACCACCGGGGAGACAAAGGCCGCGCCGGCCTTCGAAGGTGCCGCTTCTCGCTAACAGCACTTTGCCACAGCAGCCTGTGAAGGCTACACGGGGGACCTTTGCTTGTGCGCCTGCAGGTGCATCTGCGGCGTGCTGCAGGACAAGCCCCGTGTGCTCGTCACGCACCAGCTGCAGTTCCTGCAGGAGGCCACTCACATCATCGTGCTCAAGGAGGTGAGCGGCACCACGAGGAGGGGAGGGGGGGGAGGAAGGGGGAGAGTGGGGAGGAGGAGGGAGGAGGGCGTACACTCAGCCACCCACACGTGGGCGAGGTCGTGGTGCTGGCCACACCACTCCCCTCGTGTGCCGTGCCGGCCTTCATAGCTGCTGCTATTTGCAAACAGCACTTGCCCCAACAATCTGTTAAGGCTATACGGGGAATATTTGTGTGTGTGTGTCTTTGTTAATTGTATGGGATGACTGGCAGATGCACCAGCTGTGCTCCTCACTGTGCCAACTCACGGAATTTTAGCCGCCCGGCGCTCCGCTCGTTGTTGTGAGCGTCGCTCCTCCGCCCTCCGTTGTTGCTGGAGGGCGACTGCCTCCAACTGCCCAGTAGCGTCCTTCACGAGCCTCCTCCACAGAGGCCGATCTTGACACCGCTGGTACCAGTCATCGGCAAGTCCACTCAGCTCCACGTCCTCCTGTACCACATCACTCCATCTCTTCTCTAGCCCGTGCCGCGCCTGTTTAGTCCCCTCGATCCGACCAAACAAAAGCTGTTTAGGCATGCGGTGGCTGGGCATGCGGGCTACATGACTCAACCAACGCAGCCTTGCCTGCCGGAGGAGCTCACCGATGGGACTTTGTCCAGATATTTTAACGATCTGTAAGCTCCTCCCACAGCCTGCTGGTTAAACCCAGGGTGGATTGTAGGCAGGCCAGCCTGAATGTTGCAAACCAGCGCAGATATTCCATAAGAGGGCTCCACGTTTTGTAAGCACAGGAAAGGGGAGGGCATGACTGTGGCCGAGAAGACCCATTGAATCTGGTCAGCGAAGTCTTAACATAGTCGGAGGCAGTCATCCCCCAACAGCAGTGAGTGGGCACAGTGGGGGGCACGGCTGGTGCATCTGCCAGTCATCCCAATCAGTCAGCCCAAGGCACCTGAGTCTGTCCCGTTTCTCAAATACAATTGCATACATGCACAGTTTGTGTGTATGTTGAACTTCTTTCGCAACGTACGTAGCCCACTGTGCTACCCAATGTAAACGAGACTTTTGTAAGTTACCAGATAAGGAGATCACAAGTGCCAGCTCGCCTAAGCGGCTTATCGTCATGTGGAAATGTGCAGCGGCCACGTGTGATGTCGATTCACAATGTAGAGGGAACATCTGGAGGACCTGGATAACAAAATCCATGCGACCATAGGGAGAGAGACACACAAACGCCAAATATACAGGCATCGGGGTCGGGATTGAACCCACAACCTCCTGTATGCCAGGCAAGGTAGTTAACATCTCCTAGTCACCGTGGCACACCTGCACCTAGCCTGGCACAGCAGTCAACCCACGGCACCTGGGTCTGTCCCGTGACCTCCTGCACCTAGCCTGGCACAGCGATCAATCAACGGCACCTGGGTCTGTCCCGTGACCTCCTGCACCTAGCCTGGCACAGCAGTCAACCCACGGCACCTGGGTCTGTCCCGTGACCGCCTGCACCTAGCCTGGCACAGCAGTCAACCCACGGCACCTGGGTCTGTCCCGTGACCGCCTGCACCTAGCCTGGCACAGCGATCAACCCACGGCACCTGGGTCTGTTCCGTGACCTCCTCCTGCCAGCAACAGCGGAGAGCCTTCCGTACTTCACGTGACGGCCTCAAGGTGCACCTCGCCTGGCACAAAGCCCCGTGGCGGCGACATCGCCACCACTCAGTTGGTGAATGGCGGCGGCCGTTGTCGTCGTCGTTGTTGCTATGCGGTTGTCCCACGGCGGTGACGGTTACCGTGGTTGTTTTTGTTACGCGGTTATCACACGGCTGTGACGGTTGCCGTGGTTGTTGTTGCCATGCGGTTGTCCCACGGCGGTGACGGTTGCCGTGGTTGTTTTTGTTACGCGGTTATCACACGGCTGTGACGGTTGCCGTGGTTGTTGTTGCTATGCAGTTGTCCCATGGCGGTGACGGTTGCCGTGGTTGTTATTGTTACGCGGTTATCACACGGCTGTGACGGTTGCCGTGGTTGTTGTTGCCATGCGGTTATCCCATGGCGGTGACGGTTGCCGTGGTTGTTGTTGCTACGCGGTTATCCCATGGCTGTGACGGTTGCTGTGGTTGTTGTTGCTACGTGGTTATCCCATGGCGGTGACAGTTGCCGTGGTTGTTGTTGCTACGTGGTTATCCCATGGCGGTGACGGTTGCCGTGGTTGTTGTTGCTGCGCGGTTGTCCCATGGCGGTGACGGTTTCCGTGGTCGTTGTTGCTACGCGGTTGTCCCACGGCGGTGACGGTTGCCGTGGTTGCGGTGCCGGTTGTCAGGGCCACGTGACAGCGCGCGGCACGTTCTCTGAGCTCCTCCACTCGGGCGTCGACTTCACGACGCTCCTCCGCCACGAAGACCACGAGGAGCCCGACGACATCATCCCTGGCGACCATCGCCACGGCAACTGCATGCGCACCCTCTCCTCGGCGACCAGCGACTCCAGCATTGTCTCCGACGCCAAGGTGCGGAGCGAGCCGGCTATCGTGGTACCCAGTTACTGTGGTACCCAGTTACCATGGCAACTGGTTATCGTGTCTCTCAGTTACAGCGTTACCCTGTTACCATGTGACCTGGTTACCGTGTTATCTGGTACACCAGGAATGGATGAGTGGTTATCACGTCCCCTCGTTGCTGTTACCTGGTTACCATATCTCCTGGTTACCATATCTCCTGGTTACCATATCTCCTGGTTGTGTTCGTCTACCCGTTGCCACGATGCCAGTAACCATGGTGACCAGGAGGAGGGTGTGTTGTTTAGTTCGCCCACGGGAGCTCCGGGTGACACTTGTGCCCGTCCCGTTGTTTCTGCGTCTCGCCGGTTGCCATAACGCTCGGTTGCCGTGACGTCCCGTTGCCGTGGTGATCAGGAGGAGGGGGTACCGGTGGGCGTGATGGAGGAGCACCGCGCCCAAGGCAACGTGGACTTCTCGGTGTACAAGCGCTACTTCAGGGCCGGCGCCAGCATCGCCATGCTCCTCCTACTGCTGGTGGTCAACGTGGGCGCCACGGTGAGGGGTCACCGTGTCTCCCAATTGCCGTGTGTCCCGGTTGCCGTGACGTCCGGTTGCCGTGTGTCCCAGTTACCGTGTTTCCCGGTTACCGTGTCTCCTAGTTACCGTGTCTCCCGGTTACCGTGTGTCCCGGTTGCCGTGTGTCCCAGTTGCCGTGTGTCCCAGTTGCCGTGTGTCCCAGTTGCCGTGTCTCCCGGTTGCCGTGTCTCCCGGTTGCCGTGTCTCCCGGTTGCCGTGTGTCCCGGTTGCCGTGTGTCCCTGTTGCCGTGTGTCCCAGTTGCCGTGTGTCCCGGTTGCCGTGTGTCCCGGTTGCCGTGTGTCCCGGTTGCCGTGTGTCCCGGTTGCCGTGTGTCCCGGTTGCCGTGTGTCCCGGTTGCCGTGTGTCCCGGTTGCCGTGTGTCCCGGTTGCCGTGTGTCCCGGTTGCCGTGTGTCCCGGTTGCCGTGTGTCCCAGTTGCCGTGTGTCCCGGTTGCCGTGTGTCCCGGTTGCCGTGTGTCCCGGTTGCCGTGTGTCCCGGTTGCCGTGTGTCCCTGTTGCCGTGTGTCCCTGTTGCCGTGTCTCCCGGTTGCCGTGTGTCCCGGTTACCGTGTCTCCTAGTTACCGTGTCTCCCGGTTACCGTGTGTCCCGGTTGCCGTGTGTCCCAGTTACCGTGTCTCCCGGTTGCCGTGTGTCCCGGTTGCCGTGTGTCCCGGTTGCCGTGTCTCCCGGTTGCCGTGTGTCCCGGTTGCCGTGTGTCCCGGTTGCCGTGTGTCCCTGTTGCCGTGTCTCCCGGTTGCCGTGTGTCCCGGTTGCCGTGTGTCCCGGTTGCCGTGTCTCCCGGTTACCGTGTCTCCCGGTTACCGTGTGTCCCGGTTGCCGTGTCTCCCGGTTGCCGTGTGTCCCGGTTGCCGTGTGTCCCGGTTGCCGGTTGCCGTGTCTCCCGGTTGCCGTGTGTCCCGGTTGCCGTGTGTCCCGGTTGCCGTGTGTCCCGGTTGCCGTGTGTCCCGGTTGCCGTGTGTCCCGGTTGCCGTGTGTCCCTGTTGCCGTGTCTCCCGGTTGCCGTGTCTCCCGGTTGCCGTGTGTCCCGGTTGCCGTGTGTCCCGGTTGCCGTGTCTCCCGGTTGCCGTGTGTCCCGGTTGCCGTGTGTCCCGGTTGCCGTGTGTCCCGGTTGCCGTGTGTCCCGGTTACCGTGTGTCCCGGTTGCCGTGTGTCCCAGTTACCGTGTCTCCCGGTTGCCGTGTGTCCCGGTTGCCGTGTGTCCCGGTTGCCGTGTCTCCCGGTTGCCGTGTGTCCCGGTTGCCGTGTGTCCCGGTTGCCGTGTGTCCCGGTTGCCGTGTGTCCCTGTTGCCGTGTCTCCCGGTTGCCGTGTGTCCCGGTTGCCGTGTGTCCCGGTTGCCGTGTCTCCCGGTTGCCGTGTGTCCCGGTTGCCGTGTGTCCCAGTTACCGTGTGTCCCGGTTGCCGTGTCTCCCAGGGAGGTGACGGGTGGGGTTACCTTAGCGACGCTCATCGCGCTGGGCGGGAGCTCGTAGGGGGTTTCCAGCCTTCGGTCCGGTGCCAGTTTCAAATGCGCTCAGGTGATGGACCCGGCTAAACAGGCATCAGTTACAGTTCTGTCCATCGTGCCTCGGTGGCTAGGAGATGTTAACTCCCTCACATGGCCGTGTGGATTTTTCTCCGGGTCCTCTGGTTTTTCTCTTCCACGTTTAGAATCAACATCACCATGCGTTTAGAGTCAATTAATTGCCTCGATCAACAAATGGTCCCAGCTGTATCGGATCGCGTGTGTGTGTGCGTGTTAATGGTTGGGTCATGTAGCCCGCATATCCAGCCACCGCATGCCTAAACAGCTTTTGTTCGGCCGGACAGAGGGGGCTAAACGGGCGCGGCAGGGGCTAGAGAAGAGATGGAGTGATGTGGTACAGGAGGATGTGGAGCTGAGTGGACTTGATGACTAGTACCAGTGGTGTCAAAATCGGCCTCAGTGGAGGAGGCTCGTGAAGGACGCTGCTACTGGGCAGTTGGAGGCAGTCGCCCGCCAGCAACAACGGAGGGCGGAGGAGTGACGCTCACAACAACGAACGGAGCGCCGGGTGGCTAAAGCACAGCAAGTTGGCACAGTAGAGGGCACAGGTGGTGCATCAGCCAGTCATCTCAGTCAGTCGACCCATGGCACCTGGGTCTGTCCCGTGACCTCTTGCCACCGGGCCTTCAACACTTCACGTGGCCTTAACGTGCACATAGCCTGGCACAAGCGTCGTGATGACATCACCTCCACTTAGTGGCGAATGCCGGTTGTTGTTGTTGGGGAGTGGTGGTGCAGTGCGCTATGAACCCGGCGACCGGAATTCGATTCCTGCTCACGGCCACCAACACCAGTAACTATTATCCGAACCAGTCCTGGGCCTCCCCTAGGTCCGCTTAGCCTCAAATTAAAACCTGGTGCGGTGTGTAAACATCGCCAATGGGGAGGCGGCCGGACGCGGTGATGGCCACCCACCCCCTCGTGTTCCGTGCTGACCTTAACAGGTGCTTGCTAACTGCACTTGCCGCAACAGTCTGTTAAGGCTATGCGGGGGAGCTTTGCTTCGGTCAGAGTGTGATTGTCTGTCCGTCTTTGTCTCCCCAGGTCCTCTACGTGTTGCAGGACTGGTGGCTCTCCTACTGGTCCGTCGCAATTCAACACGCGCCCCGCACACACGCAAACAAAGACAAAGATCCCCCGTGTAGCCTTAACAGACTGTTGGGAAAAGTGCTGTTAGCGAGCACCTATGAAGCCTGGCACGGCACACGAGGGGGTGGGTGGCCAGCACCACGCTCGGCCGCCTTTGTCTCCCCAGTGGCAATGTTTACACATCGCACCAGGTACTCGTTTGAGCCTGAGTCGACCTAGGGGAGGCCCAGGACCGGTTCAGACAATCGTCGCCAGGTGTTGGCCGTGAGCGGGACTAGAACTCGGGTCGCCGGGTTCGTAGCGCAGCGCGCTAACCGCTACACACGCACGCATTTCTGTCTGAGCTGACCTAGGCACGTCCCGCGCGCGTGCGGGGTGCAGGGCGACGCAGCAGGAGGTGGTGATGAAGTGGAACGCGACGGGGACCCTGAACGAGACTGCGGGGCCCCAGCCGGACCCCCTCGACCTCTCCTACTACATCGGGATATACGCGGGTCGGTCCATCTCACACTCAACTGGGGGGGAGGGGTGTAGGTGCGGGGGGGGGGGCTATGGTGGACGAGTCTATTACACTCCCACGGAGGTGGGGGTATTTTATCGGTCTGTCCATTATAATTGTGTCTGTGGGTCAGTCCATCACACAGACAGGGAGGGGGGGGGGGGGGGTTATGGATTAGTCCATTACACTCCCGAGAGGAGTTATGTAAATGTATTGGTCAGATGTAGGTGTGACGGTGCAGGTGTGACGGTGTAGGTGTGACGGTGTAGGTGTGACGGCACGGTGTGACGGCACGGTGTGACGGTGCAGGTGTGACGCTGGGCGTGGTGCTGCTGGGGATGGCCCGCTGCCTGCTGTTCCTCAAGGTGCTGGTGACGTCGTCGCGAGTGCTGCACAACCGCATGTTCTCCTCCGTGCTGCGTGCCCCCGTCTACTTTTACGACGTCAACCCCATCGGTGAGGCCGCCGCCACCGCGGCGCCACCACTCGCCTCGCCGGCCACGCGAGAGAGACGCCGCCTGTCCGTGTGTACATCCGTTCATCGTTCTGTTCTTCCGACTATCCATTCATTTGTTCTTTTTATCTCTCCGTCCGTTCCTCTGTCTGTCTGTTCATCTGTCCGTCTCTTCATCGTTTTGTTCGTTCTTTTTCTTTTCTCTCTACCTGAAGAAGGCCGCTTGTGTTGCGGTCGAAACGTCGTGGGTTTTTTGCTGTTCATTTAGATTTTTGTTTTCTATCTACGTGACTTTACCGAAAGAACCAAGAATACGTTCTGTTCATCTGTCTGTTCATTTGTCTGTCTGTTCATCTGTCTGTTCATCTGTCTGTTCATCTGTCTGTCTGTTCATCTATCTGTCCATCTGTCTGTCCGTTCATCTGTTAGTCTGTCTGTTTTGTCCATGTGTCTGTCGGCTGACGTGGTGATGGTGTGATGTGGATGATGTAGTGATGTGGTGTGTGCATGATTATTTCGTCATGTAGGGTTGTAGATGGTGATGGTGGTGAAGGTGTTGGTGGTGGTGATGATGGTGATGGCGGTGGTCGTCATGGTGGTGATGGTGGTGGTGGTGATGGTGGTAATGTGGTGATGGTGGTGTTGGTGATAATGGTGATGGCGTTGATGGTGATGGGGGTGATGCTGGTGGTGATGATGGTGTTGGTGGTGATGGTGATGATGGTGGTGATGTGGTGATGGTGGTGATGGTGGTGATGTCGATGGCAGGACGGGTGCTCAACCGCTTCTCCAAGGACATTGGGCAGATGGACGACCTCCTCCCCATCACCTTCCTCGACTTTGCGCAGGTGAGGGTGACCCTGATGTCACCGTGATGGCGATGGTGGACGGTGATGGTAGCGCCGGCGGCGATGATGGTAGCGGTGGTGCAGCGGTTAGCGCGCTCACGATTATCTGAACCGTTCCTGGGCCTCCCCTAGGTCGACTCAGCCTCAAATGAGTACCTGGTGCAGTGTGTAAACATCGTCACCGGAGAGACAAAGGCGGCCGGGCGTGGTGCTGGCCACCCACCCCTCGTGTGCCGTGCCGGCCTTCATAGGTGCTGCTACTTGCTAACAGCGCTTGCCCCTACGGTCCCTGCGCGCACACACAGAGTCTATCCAGGCTATGGGGGGGGGGGGTCTTTGGTGGTGATGATGGTCGTGTGTAGATGGAGATGTGGTGATGTGGTAGTAGTAATGGTCGTGTGTAGATGGTTTCTGATGGTGGTGACAGTGGCGGTGGTGATGATGGGTGGTGGTTGTGGTGATGATGATTTTACACACGTGTGCTGAACTTCTTTCGCACCGTACGTAGCCAACCGTGCTAATCGAAGATGATGGTGGTGGTCATGATGGTGGTGATGATCACGGTGGTTGTTATAGTGACGATGGTGGTGATGGTGGTGACGGTGATGGTGGTGACGGTGATGGTGGTGATGACGATGGCGGTTGTGATGGCGATGATGATGATGATGGTGGTGGTCGTGGTGATTGTGGCGACGATCGCGATCGTGACGACTGCTATGACGACGATAGCGACGACGTTTGTACCTCGTTGACATATCAACCCCCCCCCCGTGCCCCCCCCCCCCCCAGACGTCCCTGCAGATCGTGGGTGCGATGAGCGTGGCGGTGGGCGTCGTGCCCTGGGTCATGATCCCCGTCGTTCCGCTCCTCATCGTTTTCTTCCTGCTGCGCCGCTACTACCTCCTGACCGCGCGCAACATCAAGAGGCTCGAGGCCACCGGTGAGGAGGAGGAGGTGGTGAGGAGGTGGTGAGGAGGTGGTGAGGAGGTGCCGCACCTCCCCATCGGCATCTCCACGTGTCTCCGCGTGTCTCCCCGTGTCTCCACGTGTCCCCGCATGTCTCCCCATGTCTCCGCGTGTCCCCACGTGTATCCACGTGTCCCCACGTGTCTCCCCGTGTCTCTGCGTGTCCCCACGTGTCTCCACGTGTCTTCCCGTGTCCCCGCGTGTCTCCGCGTTTCTTCCCCGTGTCTCCCCGTGTCTCACCGTGTCCCCACGTGTCTCCCCGTGTCTCCGCGTGTCCCCACGTGTCTCCCCATGTCTCCGCGTGTCTTTACGTGTCTCACCGTGTCCCCACGTGTCTCCCCGTGTCTCCGCGTGTCCCCACGTGTCTTTACGTGTCTCCCCGTGTCTCCCCGTGTCTCCCCGTGTCTCCCCGTGTCCCCACGTGTCCCCACGTGTCTCCTCGTGTCTCCGCGTGTCCCCCCGTGTCTCCGCGTGTCTCCGCGTGTCCCCCCGTGTCTCCCCGTGTCCCCACGTGTCTCTGCGTGTCTCCCCGTGTCTCCGCGTGTCCCCACGTGTCTCCCCGTGTCCTCCCCGTGTCTCCCCGTGTCCCCACGTGTCTCCCCGTGTCCCCACGTGTCTTCCCGTGTCTCCACGTGTCTCCGCATGTCTCTACGAGCTCGTGCTCCGCTCTTTACGTTTGTCCCCGTGCCCCCCGTGCCCCCCGTGCCCCCCCCCCCCCCGCCCCCCCCAGCGAGGAGCCCCGTGTTCTCCCACCTGTCGTCGTCGCTGCAGGGGCTCCCCGTGGTGCGCGCCTTCCACGTGCAGAGGCACTTCCAGAGCACCTTCGACTCCCTACAGGACGTGCACACCGGTGAGCGCTCGCCGCCAAACTCACCCACTCACCACCACGCTCACCCACTCAGCCACCACGCTCACCGCCACGCTCACCCACTCACCACCACGCTCACCCACTCACCACCACGCTCACCGCCACGCTCACCGCCACGCTCACCCACTCACCACCACGCTCACCGCCACGCTCACCCACTCACCACCACGCTCACCACTCACCACCACGCTCGCCTCCAAACTCACCCACTCACCACCACGCTCACCCACTCACCACCACGCTCACCGCCACGCTCACCCACTCACCACCACGCTCACCCACTCACCACCACGCTCGCCTCCAAACTCACCCACTCACCACCACGCTCACCCACTCACCACCACGCTCACCGCCACGCTCACCCACTCACCACCACGCTCGCCTCCAAACTCACCCACTCACCACCACGCTCGCCTCCAAACTCACCCACTCACCACCACGCTCACCGCCACGCTCACCGCCACGCTCACCGCCACGCTCACCGCCACACTCACCCACTAACTACTACACTCACCCACTCACCACCACGCTCACCGCTCGCCGCCAAACTCACCCACTCACCACCACGCTCACCGCTCGCCGCCAAACTCACCCACTCACCACCACGCTCACCGCTCGCCGCCAAACTCACCCACTCACCACCACGCTCACCGCTCGCCGCCAAACTCACCCACTCACCACCACGCTCACCGCCACACTCACCCACTCACCACCACGCTCACCGCTCGCCGCCACACTCACCCACTCACCACCACGCTCACCGCTCGCCGCCACACTCACCCACTCACCACCACGCTCACCGCCACGCTCACCCACTAACTACTACACTCACCCACTCACCACCACGCTCACCGCTCGCCGCCACACTCGCTCGCTCACTGCCATGCTCACCCACTTACTAGCATGCTCACCGTCGCACTCATCATCGCACTCACCCATTCACCGCCACGCTCACCCACTTACTATGACGCTCACCGCCACATCCACTCACTACCACACTCACCCACTCACTACCACGCTCACCGTCGCACTCACTGTCATACTCACGCACTCACGACCACGCTCACCGCCACACTCACCCACTCACTACTGCACTCACCCACTCACTACCACGCTCACCTCCACGCTCACCGCCACACTCACCTGCTCACTGCCACGCTCACCGCCATACTCACCGCCACACTCACCCACTCACTACCACGCTCACCCACTCACTGCCACGCTCACCGTCGCACTCACTGTCATACTCACGCACTCACGACCACGCTCACCGCCACACTCACCCACTAACTACTACACTCACCCACTCACTACCACGCTCACCTCCACGCTCACCGCCACACTCACCTGCTCACTGCCACGCTCACCGCCACACTCACCGCCACACTCACCCACTCACTACCACGCTCACCCACTCACTGCCACGCTCACCGTCGCACTCACTGTCATACTCACGCACTCACGACCACGCTCACCGCCACACTCACCCACTAACTACTACACTCACCCACTCACTACTGCACTCACCCACTCACTACCACGCTCACCTCCACGCTCACCGCCACACTCACCTGCTCACTGCCACGCTCACCGCCACACTCACCGCCACACTCACCCACTCACTACCACGCTCACCCACTCACTGCCACGCTCACCGTCGCACTCACTGTCATACTCACCCATTGTCTACCACGCTCACTGACACATTTACCCACTCACTACCATGCTCACCCACTCACTACCACACTCACCTCCACACTCACCACCACAATCACCACCACACCCACCACCACACTCATCACCATACTCACCACAACTCTGTGTAAGTGTGTGATCGTGCGTGTTGTGCTGTACCGACCTTCATAAGTGTTACTCGCTAACAGCACTTGCCCCAAAAGTCTGTTAAACGCTATTCGGGAGATCTTTGTCTTTGTATAGACTGGGCAGTGTGGAGCGGTGGTGCAGTGGTTAGCGCTACGCCGCGCTATGAACCCGGCGACCCGAGTTGGATTCACGCTCACGGCCAACACCATTGCCAATTATCTGAACCGGTCCTGGGCCTCCCCTAGGTCGACTCAGCTTTAAATAAGTACCTGTTTGCGGTGTGTAGTAAACATCGCCACTGGGGAGACAAAGGCGGCCGGGCGTGGTGCTGGCCACCCACCCCCCTCGTGTGCCACAGTGCCGGCCTCCATGGGTGCTGCTACTCGCTGACAGCACTTGCCCCGACAGTGTGTGTGGGCTACACGGGGGATCTTTGTCTTGTGTGTGAGCGTAGAGGCGTGGTTCCTCTTCCTCACCACCTCCCGCTGGCTCGCCGTGAGGCTCGACCTGCTCTGCGCCGTCTTCGTCACCGCCGTCTCCTTCAGCTCCATCGTCATCTCCAGCAGTGAGCGCCGGCGACACCGCGGCGCGGTTCCAATCCCGCAGGCCGCCCCGGTTAACGCCGACCGCCCTTCCGCTCCTCCCTTGCAAACGACCGCCACCTCTTCTGTCCTAGCCCAGCATCATCATGCCGACACTGATACTACGCCCTGCCCCTACCACTACCCGAACCCCTACCACTACCCCTATTACTACCCCCTATCACTACCCCACCCCTATCACTACCCCTATCACTACCACTACCCCTATCACTACCCCCTACCACTACCCCAACCCCTACCACTACCCCTATCACTACCCCTATCACTACCCCTACCACTATCACTACCCCTACCACTACCCCAACCCCTACCATTACCACTAACCTTATCACTACCCCCTACCACTACCCCGATCACTACCCCGATCACTACCACTACCCCTACCACTACCCCTACCACTACCCCCTACCACTACCCCTACCACTACCCCTACCACTACCCCTACCAAACCACTCCCACCTGTGCTCCTGTCACCACAACTACACCACCACCACCACTTTTAACAACAACAACAACAACAGCCCCACTGTTCTTCATGATCTCAACCACTTATCGTCGTGCGTACAATTTGTCTTCGTGGCTGTAATGTAGCGCCTTGCAGTGAGGCGCTGCTGCTACTTTTAACCCGCTCCACTTGCTCCACCCGCTCCACTCGCTCCACTCGCTCCACCCGCTCCACCCGCTCCACCCCCTCCACTCGCTCCACCCGCTCCACTCGCTCCACCCGCTCCACCCGCTCCACCCCCTCCACTCGCTCCACCCGCTCCACCCCCTCCACTCGCTCCACCCGCTCCACCCCCTCCACCCGCTCCACCCGCTCCACCCGCTCCACCCCCTCCACTCGCTCCACCCGCTCCACCCGCTCCACCCCCTCCACCCGCTCCACCCGCTCCACCCGCTCAACCCCCTCCACTCGCTCCACCCGCTCCACCCGCTCCACCCGCTCCACAATTCTCGTCGTCGTCACAACTCGTCACCGTGACGACCACCCCCACACCTCGTTGTGGTTATCACTTCTCGTCAACGTTGCCTCTGCACGACGACCCCGTGTCTCCCCGTGTCGCCCCCCCCCTTCCACGTCCCCGTGTCTCCTGACGCGTCCCCACCCCGTGTGCCCCTCGTGTCTCCCCACATCTCTCCGTCTAACCGTGTCTCCCCGTGTCTCTCCTCGTGTCTCTCCCCGTGTCTCTCCCCGTGTCTCTCCCCGTGTCTCTCCCCGTGTCTCCCCGTGTCTCCCCGTGTCTCTCCCCGTCTCTTCCCGCGTCTCGCCCCGCGTCTCGCCCCGCGTCTCGCCCCGCGTCTCCCCCCGCGTCTCTCCCCGTGTCTCTCCACGTGTCTCTCCACGTGTCTCCCCCCGTGTCTCCCCCCGTGTCTCCCCCCGTGTCTCCCCCCGTGTCTTTCCACGTGTCTCTCCCCGCGTCTCCCCCCGTGTCTCCCCCCGTGTCTCCCCCCATGTCTCTCCACGTGTCTCCCCCTGTGTCTCTCCCCGTGTCTCCCCACGTGTCTCCCCGCGTCTCCCCGTGAGGTCTGGCCGCGGGGCAGGTGGGGCTGGCGCTGTCCTACGCCATGAGTCTCACCGGGATGTTCCAGTGGGGCGTGCGGCAGAGCGCCGAGGTGGAAAGCTACGTGAGCCTCGCACCAACACCACCATTAGCCACCACCGCCACCATAGCCACTGCCACCGCCACCACCACCAACGCCGCAGCTACCACCACTACCACCACCACCACTACCGCCATAGCCACCACCAACGCCGCCACCTTCACCACCACTGCCACCACCACCACCACCACCACCGCCGCCACCACCGCCACCACCGCCACCACCGCCACCACTGCCATCAGCAGCATCGTCACCAATGATGTCTACTGAGACAATGTGCGTGACGATGTCCGTGACGATGTATATAACGACGTACGCGACGCCGTCGACGCGGCAGATGACGTCGGTGGAGCGTGTGCTGGAGTACTCTGAGCTGGAGCCGGAGGCCCCCTGGGAGGCGGAGAAGCGTCCCCCCGCCGGGTGGCCGTCGCGCGGCGCGCTCTGCCTGGAGGACGTCTCCCTGCGCTACCCGGGCGCCACGCGGCCCGTGCTGCACAACCTCAACGCCACCATCCACCCCGGAGAGAAGGTCGCTCGCGGTCACTGGCGTCACTTGGGGTCACTCGGGGTCACTCGGGGTCACTCGGGTTACTCGGGGTCACTCAGGGTCACTGGCGTCACTTGGGGTCACTCGGGGTCACTGGGGTCACTGGGGTCACTGGGGTCACTCAGTCACTGGAGTCACTCGGAGTCACTCGGAGTCACTCGGGGCCACTCGGGGTGACTCGAGGTCAAACGGGGTCACTCGGGTCACTCGGGTCACTGTGGTCACTCAGTCACTGGGGTTACTCGGGGTCACTCATTCACTGGGGTCACTCGGGGTCACTTGGGGTCTCTCAGTCACTGGGGTTACTCGGGGTCACGGGTTACTCAGGTCACTGAGGTCATACAAATGATAGCTCCACCAAGAAGTGGCTTGTCATCATCATCGTCACATGGAAATTTACAGCAGCCAAACGCTCTAAACGCGTGGAGACGTTGATTCTAAATGTGGAGGTAATAAGCGGAGGAGCCGGAGAAAGATCCACGCGAGAGAGGGAGAGAATCGCCAACTCCACATACACAGCAGCAGCAGCAGGCATCGTCAGGGTCGGGATCGAACCCACGACCTCCTGCACACCAGGAGAGGTCGTTAACATCTCCTAGCCACCGTGGCAGCCCTGGGTCGTGGGGAAACAGGTCGGGGTCATAGGTTAGTAAACTACAGGTAGCGGTCAGTGGTAGGGGGTCACGAGTTCAAGGCGTCATGGATTGGTGTCACGGGTTCAAGGTCTCGTGGGTAAGGGTCGTGTCTAGGAGTCACGTGTTCACGGGTCGCCCGGAAAGGGGATCGCAGGTTCAGGGGCCGCAGATGCACGCACGCACGTGCACGTACGTACGTACGTAGAACTTATTTTGCACCGTGCGTAGCCAACCGTGCTATAATCGGGGTCAAGGGTCATGGGTAGGGGTCACTGCTTCGTGGGAAGCACCTAAACCACAACGACGCACAGGACTCGGGGCGTGCCTGGGTCATCGGGCTGGGAGGCTCGGGGACTCGGGGCGTGCCCGGGTCATCGGGCTGGGAGGCTCGGGGGCTCGGGGCGTGCCCGGGTCATCGGGCTCGGAGGCTCGGGGGCTCGGGGGTCGCGTTGACGGCCGCCACCCCCTCGGCGCGGTTTCCTGCAGATCGGCATTGTGGGCCGCACAGGCGCCGGCAAGAGCTCGCTGCTCGCCGCGCTCTTCCGCCTGGCGGAGCCGAGCGGCCGCATCGTCATCGACGGCATCGCCACCTCCTCGCTCGGCCTCCACGACCTGCGCCGCCGCATCTCCATCATCCCCCAGGTAACCCGCGGCGATGACCCCCCCCCCCCCGTGGCAACTCCGCTTCCAACTCCACAACTCCACAAATCCTCCACGTCGTTTGAAGGCGGCGGCAATGGGAAGGCTCCGAGCGAGTGGCGGCCCGGAGTGAGTTGCCGCGTGCAACGCGTTGCTCACCACGTGGCCATCAACACCCTGGGAACGTTTAGTTTACAAGCGTTCTCCTCCTCTGTTCCCCCCCACCCCCTCCCCCTGTTCCGCCCCATCCGCCACTCCCAGGATCCCGTCCTGTTCACCGGCTCCATGAGGAAGAATCTGGATCCGTTTGGGGAGCACACGGACCACGACCTGTGGGCAGCGCTCGAGGAGGTAACACCACCACGCGCCCACGCCTGCCTACCCACGCACGTGCCCACGCCTGCCTACCCACGCCTGCCTACCCACGCACGTGCCCACGCCTGCCTACCCACACCTGCCTACCCACGCACGTGCCCACGCCTGCCTACCCACGCACGTGCCCACGCCTGCCTACCCACGCCTGCCTACCCACGCCTGCCTACCCACGCCTGCCTGCCCACGCCTGCCTGCCCACGCCTGCCTGCCCACGCCTGCCTACCCACGCCTGCCTACCCACGCCTGCCTACCCATGCCTGCCTGCCCACGCCTGCCTGCCCACGCCTGCCTACCCACGCCTGCCTGCCCACGCCTGCCTACCCACGCCTGCCTACCCACGCCTGCCTACCCACGCCTGCCTGCCCACGCCTGCCTGCCCACGCCTGCCTACCCACGCCTGCCTACCCACGCCTGCCTACCCACGCCTGCCTACCCACGCCTGCCTGCCCACGCCTGCCTACTCACGCCTGCCTACCCACGCCTGCCTGCCCACGCCTGCCTGCCCACGCCTGCCTGCCCACGCCTGCCTACCCACGCCTGCCTACCCACGCCTGCCTATCCACGCCTGCCTACCCACGCCTGCCTGCCCACGCCTGCCTACCCACGCCTGCCTACCCACGCCTGCCTACCCACGCCTGCCTACCCACGCCTGCCTACCCACGCCTGCCTACCCACGCCTGCCTGCCCACGCCTGCCTACCCACGCCTGCTTACCCACGCTGCCTACCCACGCCTGCCTGCCCACGCCTGCCTACCCACGCCTGCCTACCCACGCCTGCCTGCCCACGCCTGCCTACCACCATGTGCCTACCACCATGTGCCTACCACCATGTACCTACCCACGCCTGCCTACCCACATGTGCCTACCCACGCCTGCCTACCCACGCCTGCCTACCCACGCCTGCCTACCCACGCCTGCCTACCCACGCCTGCCTACCACCATGTGCCTACCACCATGTGCCTACCACCATGTACCTACCCACGCCTGCCTACCCACATGTGCCTACCCACGCCTGCCTACCCACGCCTGCCTACCCACGCCTGCCTACCCACGCCTGCCTACCCACGCCTGCCTGCCCACGCCTGCCTACCCACGCCTGCCTGCCCACGCCTGCCTGCCCACGCCTGCCTGCCCACGCCTGCCTACCCACGCCTGCCTACCCACGCCTGCCTGCCCACGCCTGCCTGCCCACGCCTGCCTACCCACGCCTGCCTACCCACGCCTGCCTACCCACGCCTGCCTACCCACGCCTGCCTACCCACGCCTGCCTACCCACGCCTGCCTGCCCACGCCTGCCTACCCACGCCTGCCTGCCCACGCCTGCCTACCCACACCTGCCTACCCACGCCTGCCTACCCACGCCTGCCTACCCACGCCTGCCTGCCCACGCCTGCCTACCACCATGTGCCTACCACCATGTGCCTACCACCATGTACCTACCCACGCCTGCCTACCCACGCCTGCCTACCCACGCCTGCCTACCCACGCCTGCCTACCCACGCCTGCCTACCCACGCCTGCCTACCCACGCCTGCCTACCCACGCACGTGCCCACGCCTGCCTACCCACCATGTGCCTACCCACGCCTGCCTACCCACGCCTGCCTACCCACCATGTGCCTACCCACGCCTGCCTGCCCACGCCTGCCTACCCACGCACGTGCCCACGCCTGCCTACCCACCATGTGCCTACCCACGCCTGCCTACCCCCATGTGCCTACCCCCATGTGCCTACCCCCGCCTGCCTACCCCCATGTGCCTACCCCCGCCTGCCTACCCCCATGTGCCTACCCCGCCTGCCTACCACCATGTGCCTACCACCATGTGCCTACCCCCATGTGCCTACCCCCGCCTGCCTACCCCCATGTGCCTACCCCCGCCTGCCTACCCCCATGTGCCTACCCCCGCCTGCCTACCCCCATGTGCCTACCCCCGCCTGCCTACCACCATGTGCCTACCACCATGTGCCTACCACCATGTGTCTACCACCATGTGCCTACCCACGCATGTGCCCACACCTGCCTACCACCATGTGCCTACCCCTGCATGCGTACCACCATGTACCTACCACCATGTACCTACCACCATGTACCTACCCCCGCCTGCGTACCACCATGTACCTACCCCCGCCTGTGTACCACCATGTACCTACCCCCGCCTGCCTACCACCATGTACCTACCACCATGTACCTACCACCATGTACCTACCCCCGCCTGTGTACCACCATGTGCCTACCCCCGCCTGCCTACCACCATGTGCCTACCTCCATGTGCCTACCCCCGTGCGTGTGTGCGTTACCCCCCCCAGGTGCAGCTGCGCTCCGTGGTGGAGGAGTTCCCGGCGCGTCTGGACGCCGAGTTGGCCGAGTCGGGCGCCAACCTCAGCGTGGGGCAGCGCCAGCTGGTGTGCCTGGCGCGCGCCCTGCTGCGCCACAACAACATCCTGGTCATCGACGAGGCCACCGCCAACGTCGACCCGCGGTGACCCCGCACGCCACCGCACGGCACCGCACGCCACCGCACTCAGGGCTAGGAGATGTTAACTACCTCGCCTGGTATGCAGGAGGTCGTGGGTTCGATCCAGACCCCGACACCTGCTGCTGTATATTTCGAGTTTGCGTCTTTCTCTCTCCCCATGGTCGCGTGGATTTTCCTCCGGATCCTCTGGTTTTTCTCGACACATTTAGAAACAACATCACACGTTCAGAGTATTTGGCTGCTAGAAATGTCCACTTGGTAAGCCACTTCATGGGGCTCTCATTTGTGGTCAGGTTGCTTCTGACAAAAGAGCTTTACAGCTCAATGAGCCTTACCTGGTACAATAAAATAAGAAATATTTGAATCGTATCACACGCATCATAGCGCGCCAATAGCCTATCACGGCGCACCGCACGGCACCCCACCTCCACCCCACGTCCCCTGCTGCGTTGAAACATCGGGAGGGCAGAGGAGCGACGCTGCTCACAACAACGAGCGGAACGCAGTGAGTTGGCGCAGTAGCGGGCACAGCCGGTGCATCTGCCGGCCGTCTCGGTCGGTCACCGCACGGCACCTGGGTTTGTCACGTGATCCTTCCGTACTTCACGCGATAGCCTCGAGGTGCACCTAGGCTGGCACGCCTCGGCGCGTTGTTAAACCGCGCGTGTGTTTGTGTGCCCAGCACGGACGAGCTGATCCAGAAGACGATCCGCGAGAAGTTCCGCTGGTGCACCGTGCTCACCATCGCTCACCGACTCCACACCATCGTGGACAGCGACCGCATCATGGTGATCACCCACACTCGCATACACACTCACATACATACACTCACATACACACTCACATACACACATACACACACATACACTCACATACATACACTCACCTACACACATACACACACTCACACACACATACATACACACACACACTCACACACACACATACACACACACACTCACATACACACACACATACACACACACATACATACACACATACACACACTCACATACACAACAACAACAACCGCCATTCGCCACTAAGTGGCGGTGACGTCACCACGACGCATTGTGCCAGGCCATGTGCACCTTGAGGCCACGTGAAGTGTCGAACGCCCGCTGGCAGGAGGTCACGGGGCAGACCCAGCAAGTGTCACGGGTCGACTGACCGAGATGACCGAGATGACTGGCTGATGCACCACCTGTGCCCCCTACTGTACCAACTTGCTGTGCTTTAGCCACCCGGCGCTTCGCTCGTTGTTGTGAGCGTCGCTCCTCCGCCCTCCGTTGTTGTTGGAGGGCGACTGCCTCCAACTGCCCAGTAGCGTCCTTCACGAGCCTCCTCCACTGAGGCCGATCTTGACACCGCTGGTACCAGTCATCGGCAAGTCCACTCAGCTCCACGTCCTCCTGTACCACATCACTCCATCTCTTCTCTAGCCCGTGCCACGCCCGTTTAGCCCCCTCGATCCGGCCGAACAAAAGCTGTTTAGGCATGCGGTGGCTGGGCATGCGGGCTACATGACCCAGCCAACGCAGCCTTGCCTGCCGGAGAAGCTCACTGATGGGACTTTGACCAGATCTTTCAAGGATTTGTGAGCTCCTCACACAATCCAGCCTGGTTAAACCCAGGATGGATCGTAGGCAGGCCAGCCTAAATGTTTCCAACATACTGACATACATACATACACTCACACACTCACATACACACACATATACACACTCACATACATACATACACTCACACACTCACATACACACTCACATACATACACTCACATACACACTCACACACACATACACTCACACACTCACTCGCATACATACACACTCACACACATACACACTCACAGACACACAGTGATATAAATGCTCGTATACACTCACATACAAAACAAAGACACCCGTGTAGTGCTGTTAGCGAGCACCTATGAATGCCGGCATGGCACACGAGGGAGTGGGTGGCCAACACCACGCCCGGCCGCCTTTGTCTCCCTCATGGCCAAGTTTACTGCAAACCGAACTAGCTACTCATTTTGAGGCCAAGTCGACCTAGGAGAGACCCAAGACCGCTTCAGATAATCGTCACCGGTGTTGGCCGTGAGCGGGAATTGAACTTGTGTCGGCGGGTTCGTAGCGCGGCGTGGCGCTGACCGCTGCACCACCGCTCCCCACTCACGTGAGTGGGGAGCGGTGGTGCAGCGGTCAGAGTGAGTTGGCTGCTGCTAGGATATTTCACACGGCGATGATGACATCGGCCACGTGGCTGAGCCAGCTGTTGCGATGGATGGCCAGGGCGCTTCTGAAGGAAGAGCCACGCAGCTCAGTGGGCCTTGCGCGAGGTCAAACCATGAACAGTTTCGGTTTAATGATGTTCATTATGAATAATTAATAGGTGCCGCTCGCTAACGGCTCTTGCCCCCGCCCCCCCCCCCCCCTTGTCTGTGCCCAGGTGATGGAGGAGGGCCACATCCGGGAGCTGGACTCCCCCCACGCGCTGCTGCAGGACCCCGGCAGCCTCTTCCTGCGCCTCGTGCAGCAGACCGGGCGCGCAGAGGCAGGCGCCCTCACCGAGATCGCTCGCCAGGTGAGACACGCGCGGCGCAGGTGACACGCAGGTTAGACACGCAGGTACAGGTGAGACGTAGGTGACACGCAGGTACAGGTGACACACAGGTTAGACGCAGGTACAGGTGAGACGCAGGTTAGACGCAGGTACAGGTGAGACGCAGGTTAGACGCAGGTACAGGTGAGACGCAGGTTAGACGCAGGTACAGGTGAGACGCAGGTTAGACGCAGGTACAGGTGACACGCAGGTTAGACGCAGGTACAGGTGAGACGCAGGTGACACGCAGGTACAGGTGAGACGCAGGTGACACGCAGGTACAGGTGAGACGTAGGTGGGATATGCGGTACAGGTGATACACAGGTGAGAGAGTGCAGTGCAACATGTGCATTATTTACGCTGCGTCTGCCCCCGTCCGTGTGTCCGCCCGTGCGTGCGCCAGGAACAGTCCAAGCGCGAGCTGCCCCCTCGCCCCACCAACCTCATCATCATGGAGACGGCCTTCTGAACCCCCGCCGCCACGTTACCTGCACCAAGTCGCTGCGGCAACAGCTGCCTATTTGTTTGCTGTTTTTATTTCAGCAGGTTAAGGCCCGCCGAGCTGCGTGGCTCTCTTTCAGAGGTGGCCTGGCCATAAATAACGAAGTGGCTTATCGCGTGGAAATTTATCGCAGCCAATGTACGTTGATTCTAAACGTGGAGGGAAAAAATCCGGAGGAGCTGGAGAAAAATCCAGACGAGCATGGGCAGAGAGAGAGAGAGAGACACGCAAACTCCACATATACAGCAGGTGCCACGCTGGCTATGAGATGTTAACTACCTCTCCTGGTGTACAGGGCGTCATGGGTTCGCTCCCGACCCAGACACCTGTTGTATATTCGGAGTCTACGTGTCTCTTCGTGATTGCCGCCTGGATTTTTTCTCCGGGCCCTCCGGTTTTCCTCTCCACATTTCTAATCGACGTTTATTTCGAGTATTTGTCTACTATCAATTTCCACGCGATGATGATAAGCCACTTCGTTGGGCTGTCATTCGTGATGGCCAGGACGCTTCTGAAAAAAGCTACGTAGCTCAGTGGGGCCGTACCAACGTCAAATAATAAGAGTCAATAGTTGTACCTTTTTTTTTATCGACTCGTCACACACTCCCTGTCGGCTTGGCCTAAGAGAGGCCGAGAGGCGGCCTCGTGTTGGCCCAGAGGTCAGAGGTCGCTGCTGAGCCGACACCTATAAGAGCCTGGGTTCCAGTCCGGGTCAGTCGGTCCCAACCGCCGAGATCACATCGGGGTCTCGTGCGTCAGCAAAGTCACCGATGGTTTGCACAGAGACCCAAAGACTCGCATAGAGACCCAAAGACTTGCATAGAAGACCCAAAGACTCTCATAGAAACCCAAAGACTTGCACAGAGACCCATAGATTCACACCAACACCCACAGACTCGCTGAGGTCCATAGACACATGTGGAGACCCGCAGGCTGTCACAAAGACCCATAGGCTGATTAGACTCATATAGAGACTCACAGACTCACACAGAGACCCACAGACTCACACAGAGACCCACAGACTAACACAGAGACCCACAGACTAACACAGAGACCCACAGACTCACACAGAGACCCACAGACTAACACAGAGACCCACAGACTAACACAGAGACCCACAGACTAACACAGAGACCCACAGACTCACACAGAGACCCACAGACTCACACAGAGATCCACAGACTAACACAGAGACCCACAGACTCACACAGAGACCCACAGACTCACACAGAGACCCACAGACTAACACAGAGACCCACAGACTCACACAGAGACCCACAGACTAACACAGAGACCCACAGACTCACACAGAGACCCACAGACTCACACAGAGATCCACAGACTCACACAGAGACCCACAGACTAACACAGAGACCCACAGACTAACACAGAGACCCACAGACTAACACAGAGACCCACAGACTCACACAGAGACCCACAGACTAACACAGAGACCCACAGACTCACAAAGAGACCCACAGACTCACACAGTGACCCACAGACTCACACAGAGACCCACAGACTCACACAGAGACCCACAGACTAACACAGAGACCCGCAGACTAACACAGAGACCCGCAGACTAACACAGAGACCCGCAGACTCACACAGAGAGCCACAGACTCACACAGAGACCCACAGACTAACACAGAGACCCACAGAGACCTACAGACTCACACAGAGAACCACAGACTAACACAGAGACCCGCAGACTAACACAGAGACCCACAGAATAATACACAGACCCACAGACTCACACAAAGACCCACAGACTCACACAGAGACCCACAGACTAACATAGAGACCCACAGACTCACACAGAGACCCACAGACTCACACAGAGACCCACAGACTAACACAGAGACCCACAGACTAACACAGAGACCCACAGACTCACATAGAGACCCACAGACTAACACAGAGACCCACTTGGCTAACACAGAGACCCACAGACTCACACAGAGACCCACAGACTCACACAGTGACCCACAGACTAACACAGAGACCCACAGACTAACACAGAGACCCACAGGCCCTCTATAGACTGCAGTGAGTTGGTGGTATCAGCCTGGCCACCAATGACTGCGCTCAAAAATAACTCATCACTTGAAATGTGATCCTGCACGCAATTTGGGCAAACTCCAGCTCTGACAATGAAAGAAGATATAAATATACTGTATATAGGTTTTGACCATCACGTGACTCTCAAATGGGGGAGTGCGTGGGGGGTGAGCGTGCTACCCTCGACCGCGCGCATCACTTGACGAAGAAGCAAGGGGGGGGGGTCTCCGAGGTAGCTCTGTGGTGTCTGCTTTCTCGGGTTCCGTTCTCTTAAGGGGGAGGGGTCACTCGGGGTGAATGACGGAAAGGCGTGCGTGGATGTGTGCGTGAGTGTGTGTGTGGGTGTGCGTGCGTGTGTATGTGCGTGGGTGTGTGTGTGTGCGCGTGGGTGTGTGTGGGTTTGTGTGTGAGTGGGCACAGTAGGGGTGCATCGGCCAGTCATCTCAGTCGGCCCATGACACCTGTTGGGTCTGTCCCGTGACCTCCTCCTGCCAGCGGGCGTTCGACACTCCACGTGGCCTCAACGTGAACCTACCCTGGCACAAGCGCCGTGGTGACGTCATCGCCACTTCGTGGCGATTGTGTGAGCGGTAGTGTAGTGGTTCGCGCTACGCTGCGCTACGAACCCGACGACCCGAGTTCGATTCCCGCTCACGGCCCACACCCAGTGACGATTAGTTGAATTGTTCCTGGGCACCCCCTAGGTCTACTCAGCCTTAAAAAGGTACCTGTTTTGCGGTGTGTAGTAAACATCGCCTACTGGGGAGACAAACGCCGCCGGGCGTGGCCTTGGCCACCCACCCCCTCGTGTGCCACAGTGCCGGCTTTCTGTCGGTGCTCCGAGTCGCTGCAAACAGCACTTGCCCTCGAGAGTGCCACAGGCTACACGGTGCGGGCCTCTTTGTTTAACCCTGCACCATACAGCGGGTTCGAGTGGCGAGAACCCAAACTGGGAGCCTGCAACGCCGATGGGGCCCGGTTCGACTCCTACATCGCGTCGTGGCAATGGGGGCGAGTTTGTTTTGCTGTAGTTTTAAATTCACCAGACGCCCACCACCTCCACCACCACCTGCACAACCACCAACACCACCTGCACCTCCACCTGCACCACCACCTGCACCACCACCTGCACCTCCACCACCACCACCACCTGCACCTCCACCACCACCTGCACCACCACCACCACCTGCACCACCTACCCCACCACCACCTGCACCACTACCTCCACCACCACCATCACCACCTGCACCTCCACCATCACCAGCACCACCACCTGCACCACCACCCCCTACACCACCACCACCTCCACCACCACCTATCCCACCACCTACCCCACCACCTACCCCACCACCACCTACACCACCACCTACCCCACCACCACCTGCACCACCTACGCCACCTCTGTCCACCCGCAGTGTAACTGCACCACAGTTGATGGTGGTGGTGGTGGTGGTGTTGATGGTGGTGGTGGCGGGGTAAAGTGTGGGCACTCCCCGCCTTCCCCAAGACGTCTGGTCCAGCGTGGAGCGTGCGAGAGGAGCAGGGCCCTCTCTCGGGTCGCTCTGGGAGCCTTTACCCCTTCACCACATGGGGCCTTACACACCGAGTGTCTTGCTGCTGCTGCGTCTTGCTGCTGCTGCTGCTGTGACCGACCTTGCCTGTGATTGGTCGTTGGGGTGGCTGGTCCTGTAGCTTCCACGTGGCCTGTGAAGTCAAGTGATGTTTGGCGAGTAGCAGCACCTACGTGCACACACTCACTACACATAGTCGCCCTTTCAGACGCGCTGCTGCGGCCGTCTGGAACGCTCTTCCTTACCGATGTTAGCAAGCCACTGGGAGCTACGATGCACTTTTAAATCATCAGCGAGATTGACGAAGCTTCATTTTTTTTCGAACTACTTTTTGTTGCGTTTAGTGTTGTTATCCTCGCCCCCCGCACCGCCGTTTAGCCGCGGTTGGCTACGTACGGTGCGAAAGAAGTTCAAGGTACGTCGAGACAAGATGATGATGGTGATGGTGGTGGTGGCAGCGAGGGTTGAGATGTCAAGACGTGGTTGATTCCTCGAATCGAGGAGAGGGTGGGGGGGCGGCGGAGGTTTGCGATGATGATTTCTATTTTTGATCGTTATATTTTCACGCTACATACACGTTGTATATACATATATGACGTGAATACACACACGTTATATATGGCTATATACACGTGCAGTACGTGTATTCTGTACGCACATGAACCGCATCTCCAAACATGTTGTCGGGAGAGAAAATAATAGTCATGTAGTTTTGTTCACTGGACCTAGAGGCGTTTGTGACCTGTTACGCGATCGCGCACAACTACGCTCTGACGAAGCGCTTGACCTTTGTCAGAGCGCTTGACCTTTGACAGAAAGTTTGACCTTTGACAGAGCGCTTGACCTTTGACAGAAAGTTTGACCTTTGGCAGAGTGCTTGACCTTTGACAAGAAAGTTTGAGCTTTTGCAGAGCACTTAGACTTTTGACAGAGCGCTTGGACTTTTAGCACTGCACCTGACCTTTGAGAGAGCACGGCGGGTGGTTGCTTGTAGTCCTCTCGTGGTGGTGGTAGTGGTAGTGCCTTACGCCGATAGACCCTACGCCCAAGCCAGCCGTCCGGTAGAACTCCCCTCATCCGTGACGAGGTGGGGTGAGGGGTGGGGGGGCGGGGGGGGGGGGCAAACTTGGCAGCTCCACGGGGAAGCCTTCCCCAGTCCAGCCTCTTGTTCCCCTGTAATGCGGCGGTAGTCGTGGTGGTTGTGGCGTTCCTGAAGAACACCGCGTGATGGAAACATCGCCTTCTAATCAACAATATCGCGCTGCAGCAGAGTCCGCGATAACGCGCGAGATGCGTGACGCAGGGCCGGACAACGACCGGGGCGCGGGTGTGAGTAGCATCCAGAAGCATCCAGCAGCATCCCACTGCCTCGCGCGATGATGACGATGATGATGATGACGATGACGATGATGACGACGACGACGACGCTATGCCCAGGTCGCCGTGTTACGACCGCTTATCCCCCGCTGCGACGTAGTTCTATTCGCCCGATCGCGTTCTCTAACAACCGAATTCGCATTCTGCGTCATATAAAAAGTGCGTTCCCTAAAATACCTCCGTCACGCTCTATATCCAATTGGCGTTGTGGGAACGACTCTATAGAGCATGGCCAACTACCCGTGTTGCCCACCCTGATCGATCCAACCACCACAACAAGCCTTTGATGGCCTCGTTCGTCACTGCAGGACCCCCCCCCCCTCTCGTGACGACAATCTTTCTCCAGTGACCTTTAACCTCACCACTGTGGCCTCGTCTCGATCGCACGCGAGCAAGGTCGACTCAGCCTTTATTTATAAATGAGTATCTGGCGCTGCGGTGTGCAAGCGTCAGCGTTGGGGAGATACAAAGACGTTCCCGCGTGGCGCCGACCACCGACCCGCCCCTTCGTGGGCTACCCAGACCTCGTGGGCGCGCCTGCCAACGGGGCTCGCGCCCCAGCAGCCTGCTGGAGGCTTCGCGGGGGGCTCTTTGTCTTCGTGTGTCGCTGAATAGAGGCTCGTAGCGGAACGTCTGCATTGACATTGCCACCACTGATTGTAAGGTGATGATGATGATGATGCTTCCGAAGAAGAAGAGCCATTCACGCATTGTAACGTCGTCAAAGTGGGGACCGCCTGGACTGCGTGTTAAGAGTGTACAGAACCGAATAAAGTAAAATTTCGTTTTGTCAAAAACAATGCTGTCCGCAAGTGGGGCAGCCCAAAGGGCCGCCACATGCGGCACGTAGCCGACCCCTGGCCCGCGTGGCTTTCCAGACCAATGTCACCCAGCAACCATGGGTGGGAAAACCCGATTTTTCCAGCGGCAGGCATCAGGTTTTTTTCTTTAATACAATTAATGCCCGATTTCGGGGAATTAAAACCTGGCTTAATGAATACGAAACTGATCCAAGGCTTAGGCTGCTTCCTCGTCGGTGCTGCTATCATCGTACTCGGGGGGGGCCGTCGGACACGGGGTAGTCGTAGAATGCGGCGGGCAGGTTTGTCTTGATGAACACGAGCTTCTCCACAATCGTGGGCGCCAGTGAGTTCCTTAGCTTGGAATGGATGAAGCCCATCGTTGAGAAGTGCGGTTCTGCAATTAGAACCAATTAAACCGGATTTCTCCCAATCTCAGATGATCGGGTTTAATATAAAAAGAGAATTAAACCCGATTGTAAAAATTAACCCGTAAAAACAAAGTTTTTCACTATAAATCCTTTATATGCGTGGCATCGGTTTACATTTTATTATTCATTTGTTTTTCTTGAGTAAGAGTTTAATTTTTATCACATTGGTATTTTAAATTAAATATGACATTTTTTTTTCCTAAAAAGTGGAAAATTTTGGAAAAAAATTTTCACGAAAATTAATTGTCACGCACAACGAGTCTGTGTGCAAAATGTCAGCTCGATTGGATCACGGGAAGTGGGTTAAAAAACTACCGAAAGATTTGCACGGTCGTAAGCGCGCAAGTGAACTTAATATAAAGGATTTTAAAAACCCGACTGTGCCACCCTTGCCAGCAACAGCAGCGCCGCAGGGGATGCCATCTCCCTGGCCTGGTACACACGTGGTCGTGGGCTCGATCCCAAGCCTGTACATGAGGAGTTTGCGTGTCTCTCTCTCCACGTGGTCGCGTGGATTTTTCTCCGGTTCCTCCGGTTTTTCCCTCCACATTTTCGAAAGATGGGGGTTTATATTATACTGATTATTTGGCTGCTATAAAGGTCCATGCGACGAAAGGCCACTTCTCATTGAGCTATCATTTGTGGCCGAGTCTCTTCTGAAAAAGAGCTCCAACACAGCTCAGTGGGCCTGACCTGGAAAAATAAAAAAAAAGTTGAGTTTCAAGAGGTTACATCATTGGACCTCCTTTGCGAGTACCAAAATATAATAATAGGGGTTTTACCATTTTTTTTCTGGCAACAAAACTTAAACCTTTGTACAAGGGATCGTGTGTGCATTAACCACAATACTTGTGGTCAAAATGCAAACAAAAAACACACTGATAATAAATGCATTGTCCTTGAAACTGATTGGTCCACGCCAGAGACGGCTTTCTTTTGAGCCTCGTCTCAATTGGTGCTCCAGAGGATGATCACACGTATTGTGGTTAATGCACACATGATTCCTCGTAAATAGGTTTCAGTTTTGTTGGCAGAAAAAAGGGGAAAACCCCTATTATATTCCTATTATTATTTCAAGAGGTTCGTTTCGCAGCAGCAGAATGTGGTTCGTAGGCAGCGTCAGGGTGTGTTGAACGGAGCGGCCTCCGTGGTTGACACCGGACAGCCCTTGTCGACAGCGACACATCTGGTGAAGCCAGAAGGATTCCACCTTGACAACAAACATGGGCTCTGCTACTGCTGCTGCTGAGACCCGGGAAGGTCGAGACCGATTAAGAGGTTTCTTGCAACAACAAAAAAACACTGCTGGGGTGTGGGAGAGCCACGAGACTGATGGGACTAAAAATGTGTGGAACGAACACGTGAACACACAGCGGACGTCTGATGGACGTTCGCCTTGGGGCATTGTGGCGGTGTGAAGTTTTGGCTCTCGCCCTCTTGACGCGCGCTCGGGGCTTGTACCCGCGCGATGTCCGACGTTTCGCCGTATGTTGCCTTCAAACTATCGGCTCCCAGATGAGCTGACGGCGTTGTCGGCTCACCTTGATGGCGGATTTGGCGAGTAAGGTGGTCGGATCGACCGGACTGTCAACGCCTCCAGTCCTGGTTAGATTACCGCATCGTCAAGTTCGTGGTGTGTCTTTTTCCGTAGCCAAACATAATAATAACAATCACCATGGGGGTTTATTTCGGGGATGCCGATTCCACGGGCGGTGGGACGGTGGGCATCCCAGCGGTCTGGCGATTCCAGAGGTGGCCGTCTCGACTCCTGTCTCCCCGGTGCGGCCATGGGTCCCATGGGCCGGTGTGGGCCCCACGTGCCAGTGTGGGCCCCACGGGCCAGTGTGGGCCCCACGGGCCACCACTTTGTGCCTCTTTTTGGGTTGCTGTGGCCCACGGAATGGCGTGGGGGGGTTGGGGGTTGTTGGTTTTCCACTCTGGCCGGTGTCGCGCGGTTCAAGACGTTTCGGCAACAAAACGGTGGCGGAGCTTCACGTCGGGAAACATTTCGGCGGCGTCGAGGCGTTCTCCGCGGGGCCATCGGACACTCGGGCAGTGACCAGGAGCCTCGGCGGGGTTCACAATGGCCACGTCGAAAACCTCGCCGCGCCGGCACCGCCGCTGCCGAGAATCCTGGGTTCGAATCCAGGTTTCAGCCGCCCAATCCCGCGACTTAAATCGGGTTCTCAAGTGTGAGGGAGTCGGATGGTCTCCCCCCCCCCCACTCGGTCACCGGTGGCTCACACAGGAGACCCACACACTCGTGTGGAGACCCACGACATCGCGGAGAGATCCATAGACCGACAGAGGCCTATATATTCCACAGCCTCTGAGTTGTTATTGAATCGGGTTCGCAAATATAGCGACCACCAAAGAATTGCAGACCCATAGGCTCATGGAGAGACCCACAGACGCAGACTTGCATCGAGACCCATAGGATCATGGAGAGAGAGACTTACACAGACCCGTCGATTTCGCATAGACAGAGTTGCGGTTAAATCGCGTGAAGTTGATGGGTCTCAGCCCGGTGACCAGTGACAGCTTGAGTCGAACCCAGGCGCTCAGCAATGCCAGCTCGAGTGTTTCCCAACACGGCCGTTGTGGAGGCCAGACAGAAATCATCTCCACCCGGCCACGGCCGTCAACCTCTCTGTGAACCCCAGCTCCCTTCAATGATGCGCTCGTCGGTATAATTTTATTTCTACTCGACTGCGAGCAGCCGATCGCCGGTGTGCAGTAAATGCCGCATGGAGCTTTTTCAACGTTGTGGTGTCACGAGTCCTCTTCATTTCATGACAATGTTCCAGTTCGGTTACACCCAGGAAGGATCGTGTGTTTGCGCGCATATAGAACTTATTTCGCACCGTACGTAGCCAAACATGCTAATCGGAGGTGCAGGCAATAGTGGATGTTGTCGTCAGGGTGTCGTGTTGGTGGTAGTGATAATGGATGTGGTGGTGGTGAGATGGTGATAGTGGATGTAGTGGTGGTATGGTGTTGAGATGATGGTGAGATCATAGTGATGATAGTAGATGTCGTGGTAGTGTGGTGGTGGCATAGTGGTGATGTATGTTGAACTTCTTTCGCACCGCGAAAGAAGTTCAACATACATGATAGCACGGTTGACTATGTACGGTGCTAAAGTTGTTCAACGTAAATACGAGCACCAGGCCAAGGCAGCATCCACGTGGCGTTCAGGCGGCCGATTGAAGCTCCCGCACGGCGACAGAGAGGGACCGCGAGAGGCCAGGCCGAGGGGAGTCACGCGGAGATTTATTAACGAACACGCACCCAAGAGGCCCTGTCGGGTCACCCTGCGCTACAGCATTTGTCCCATCTCGTACATCACACATCGGGGTTCTGACTTTCTGGCCGCGACTCCCAGCCCTACCGCGCTGAACGGCAGGCGATACCTGAACCGGTCCTGAGAACACAGCCCATCTCTACACTTCAGCCCCACGCTAACCCGCGTGGTGAAGTATGGTCAAACCCCACAACCAACACACTGGGGGGGGGGGGGGGGCCTTCATCCAGCAGTGGATTGGCAAAGGAGCCCGTAAATTACTAACTTGCATATGTACATGTATAAGCCCGTGGCCAATCCACTCCTGGACGAGGGATTCCATAGTTTGTGGGGTTTATCCCACCGTGCAGGTCAGCGGAGACGGGGAGCATAGACATTGTTGTACAGTACAATGATGGTTTCGCTGCACTGCTGACAGCAGCAGCGGCAGCCTATATCACCCGTCAGGCACGGCGGTCGCTCATCCAAGCGCGAAGCAGTGAAAAGCCTGCTTAGCTTGCGAGCGCTCACAAGAATCGGGGGGGGGGGGTACGTGAATTCGGATCGAGGTGGTTGGTTGCAGGTGAATTTTGTAAATTGGGATGAATAAGATTTAACTTTTTAAAATATAGAAAACTCATTCCTTTTAAAACAGCTTTTTTTGTGCAAAGTGTTGTCATCGCCCCCCACCCCACCTCCGATTCGCGCGGTTGTGTACGTACGCTGCGAAAGAAGTTCAGCGTACACACACACAACACACACACTTGGGGTGTTTCACGAGACAGATTCACCGCTCAGTGACGGGAGCCGCTCGCTTTCCCCGACGGGAATAGACTAAAACGCAAAACGAAACGCAGCAAGTGGAGGAAGCTGCGCAGTGACTCCGCCGTCAGGGATGCTGCCAAAATCCTGGGCTCCAATCCGGGTCTCGGCCACCTCTACCGGCGAGATCACGCCGGGGATTCTAGCGGAGCGAATTTATGTTCCATGCCCGGTCACCGGCGACTCGCATAAACGTGAGCCGTTCACTTTATTGGTCGTGGAAGGATGATGATGACGAGGACTGCTTGCGGTGATGAAGCTGATGGTGACTGATTGAAGGGATGATGATGACGACGATGGCCATGTTGGATGAGACCACCGTGCTAGCAGGCCGACCTCTCCGAGCGGGATTTTAATTCTCAACCTTCCAACCGCGAGCCGAGCTCTGCACGTCAGCGAGTGAGTGAGCGAACGCGTTAGCGAGTGAGTGAGTGAGCGAGTTAGCGAGCGCGTTAGCTAACGCGTTAGCAGTCGAGTTAAACGGCAACAGCGACGGCAGTAGCGGCACGCGGCCCAGCGAATGGCGGCGGATGAGCGAGCGATGGCAAAACGGCATCAACGTTGGGAGTTCCCAAGTCTCCAAGAAGAAGAACCACTGAGGGGGCAAAGCACGCGGCATACCATCTCAGCGGGTCAGCTGCCCTCCCTGCCAATCTGCCCGACGGACGCAGGGCAGCCCCGCTCGCTCACACCCGAGCGAGCGGTTGCGCAACTTGGGTTGCGTAACTTGGGTTGCGTGCGCGGGACGTCTCTGGCAACCGGTTGCAGTCGCGCGACCGGTCGCTGCTCTCGGGAGTTCGAGACGAACACCCAACGCCGCAGTGGCGTCAAGCGCCCCGGGCCCTGACCCGTCACTTTTTCCTGCACTCGTTCACTCATCCGACCCTCTTCACTGATCCCACCTCTTCTCGCGTTCACTCATCAGACCTCTTCACGCGTTCACTTATCCAAGTTGAGAATTGATTGGGGGGGAGGAGTGAGGATGGGTTAACGATGTGTGTAGAAGGTGGAGATTTTGTGTGTGTGGAGGGTGGAGATTGTGTGTGTGGAGGGTGGAGATTGTGTGTGTGGAGGAGGAGAATGTGTGTGTGTGTAGAGGGTTGAGAGTGGAGAGGGTGGAGATTGTGTGTGTGGAGAGGGTGGAGATTTTGTGTGTGTGTGGAGGAGGAGATTTTGTGTGTGTGGAGGAGGAGAATGTGTGTGTGTGGAGAGGCTTGAGAGTGTGGAATGTGTTTGGGAAAAAGCACGAGGGGCTTGGCAGAACGTGGAATTTATTTGGCAAATCGGAGAAAGCGCCGGCAGGGCAAATAATTATATAGGGAGGTCTACGGGGATGAGACACGGTGGGGGGGGGGGCGTAGTGCACTGTGGGTAAGGTCGGGGCCCGTCGCCGTGACGATCAACGCGTGCCCTTGTGAATGGCGAGCGCCGCAAGGCTGGCAAGGCCGGCAAGGCCGACCACAACCCCGCCCACGATCGCCATGCCCACCAGGCCGTCTGCAACAACACAGCAGAATCGTCAGCGGCATCATCGTCGGTGGTGACATCGTCAGCTTCTCATTATCAGAATCTCAATATCATCAGAATCTCCCAGAGGCTCATAGCTGCCAGACTAGGGCTCTTTCAGTGCTCACTGTGGCAGACTAAGGCTCCCGTAGGTTTCAGTGTCAATGGGGCTCATAGCGGCAGATGAAGGCACGCGCGCGCGCACCTTTCTGCATGGCCTTGTTGATGAGCTTCTCAAGCTGCAGCGCCTGCTGGTTCGTGGGCTCCTTGCGCAGGAGCGTCTTCACGAACTTCAACGCCTTCTCGTAATCCTGCACCGTCGGACCACGCGGGGGGGAGGGGTGGGGGGGAGGAGGGGTGGGGGGGGATGAGGGGTGGGGGGGGAGGGAGAAGGGGTGGGTGGGGGGGATTACTTTAGACAAGAATCCCGCTACCGATTACCGATCGGTGACGTGGAAGTCTCTCGCACAGCAAGATGTTATTCCCATACGGCGGCGTTCTTCGTCGCAAGCCCCCCCCCCCCCCCCCCGCGGGAGCCACTGGCGGCCCCCCTAACATGCGCCCCTACCCCCCCCGCCCCCCGGGCAATACACAAGTGGTGGCAACATCCCCCCATCGCCATCACAACCCCCCAATGATTTCAAACGGCGTGGTGGCAGTCCTCACTCACACCGATGTTGTCTAGTCGGCGAAAGTGACCCCCTTCCCCCATCAAGTCTGAAAACGAGTGAAGAACGCTGCCCTAAGGTAACAACCTAGCGAAGGCAGACTCGAGAAAGCCAGAATTCGGGGTAAACCGGACAGGCGAGGCCAAAATAATATAAAGTTTTTAATGAAAACCAAAAACTTCGAGAAACTTCCACGGGAACACTGCGCACGCGCTAATGAGGCTGCGCGTGATAGGACACGGATGTTCTGTAGTCAATCCACTTCAGCTATATTCAGACTCAACTCTTTTTCAGTTTACCAGGTAAGGCCCACTAAGCTATGACCTGGCCACACGTAACGTATGTACGTCATGTTTGTATATTACAGGCCGTAATTATTATAGATATTGGGGGGGGGGGGGGGGGGACACATCCCCAATATTCAAATATGCTCAAAATGTCCCCCCCAATGTATTGCTATAAAATAGATTTCTGTTTATTGTGGTTATGGTTGAACTTTATTAATCCCTAATCTCTGCCATTACATACAATGAAACAAGAAAAGGTAAAAAAGTAAAAACAGAACAATGTAATACAATACACTATTAGACATTATTGTAAAAAATTAATAAAAAGTCCATCCCATGTGTTAGTGAGATTTTTTTATATTTTAGGCAGGAAATTCGTTTTCAAATTTAGATTTTTTTTTTTTCTGGGGGGGGGGACCCCCAGACCCCCTGGAAGATTTGGTCCCCCCCAATGTTGACTCCATGGCTACGGCCTTGGTATATTATGTATGTTAATGTGGGATTGATCGCCAAGGGCACTTTGAAAGTTCTATCCTGCCCCCCCCCCCCCCCATGCAGAGCGTGGTGGGTGAGGTTACCTTGAGCCGGTAGTAGCCGATAGAGATGTAGAAGAGGTAATCCCGAAGCTCATCTCCCTTCGCGTTGTGGCACAATTCTGGGGGAATATCGTCATCGTCGTCATCAACAGCAACAACAAACTTAAGTATAAACTATTTTTTTTATTTTACCAGGTAAGGCACCACTGAGCTATTTCGCTCTTTTTCAGAAGCGACCTGGTCATCACAAGTGGCCCATCGTGTGGAAATGTATAGCGGCCAAATAGTTGAAACGTGTGATGTTGATTCTAAATGTGGAGAGAAAAACCGGAGGATACGGAGAAAAATCCAAGCGACCACAGAGAGAGAGACCTGCAAACTCCAAATATACAGCAGGCGTCAGGGTTGGGATCGAACCCACAACCTCTTGTATACCAGGCGAGGCTGGTAATATCTCGCCACCGTCATCATCAAGATCGTCATCTTATCAACATCATCACTGTCAACAACATTCCTACGTGTTAAATCATTCATTCATTTCCGATTCGCTCATTCCGCCATTCGCTCACCCCGTCGTTAATGACGAGGTGAGGGTGTGCCCTCCTCACCCTCTAGGAGTCGCACTCCGCGCTTCACGTCTTCGCTGTGCCGGGAGCGTACAAGGCACCACGCGTACTCAAACTGCGTGGCGGGCGATAGCGGCCCCTTCGCCATCTCTGCATTATACTTCTTCTCAAACTTCTACACACGCGCACACACACAGCGAGGTTAGACACAGGACGCTACATATACACACAGCGAGGTTAGACACAATATGTACTGTATGTTGAACTTCTTTCGCACCGTACATGGCCAACTGTGCTCACCGGAGGTGCGCAGACACAGCGAGATTAGACACGGGACAGGACAGACACAGCGAGGTCAAACAGCACACAGACCACGGCGAGGACTGACAGGGCACACAGGACAGATACAGCACAGCAACGGCGAGATTAGATACAGGACACTGCACAGACACAGCACATACACGGCGAGGTCAGATGGCGCACAGGACAGACACAGCGAGGTCAAGCAGCGAGATCAGACAAAGCAGAGACAGGCCAAGGTAATTGTTAATGGCTAAGTTTCATCGTTTGTTCACTTCTCAGTCCACCTTGTCCTGGCGAGGGACGCAGCGGCAGCGTGTTGAGGAGTGGCGGTCCAGACCTCCCTTTCCCTGGCAACAGACTATACACTACTACACTACATTACTATAAACTACACTACTATACAGACTCTAGCTCTTCCTGGGGAACTCCCAGGCGTCCCCAGGCCAGCCGAGCGACATCGTTCCGCCAGCGTGTCCTAGGGTCTTCGCCCAGTGGGACGGACTGCCTGGTAGAGTTCCAGGGGGGGGGGCATCCTTACCGGGTGCCCGAACCACCTCAACTGGCTCGCGTGTTCGTTTAACCAGGTGAGAGCTCAGGGGACCAGAATAGCCTCATTTGCAAAAGTGACACAGGGACTGTGTGGGGGGAGGGACAAGCACAGTGCTAACGCAAATGGGACAGACACAAGACAGCGTGGACAAGCACAGTAGCACTGTCTGTAAGCATCAGCAGGGACTACTATAGCAGGTGGGCGGCATGGCAACATATAGTAGCGGGGACAGAGACAGCAGATAACATAGGCAGGCAGCATGCTCTTGCTGTGCTGTCACCACCACCACTACCCACTACCATCACAACGACAATGGCTATGCCATTATCATTACCATAATCACCGCTATCATTACCTTGACCACCACTACCATCATTACTACCACTATCACAACCATTATAACCATCATTACCACCACCGTTGCAAACCACCACTACGTTCGTCACCACCATGTTCATCATCACCAGGACTACCATAATGTATGTTAAACTTCTTTCGCACCGTACTTTGCCAACCGTGCTAATCAGAGGTGCGGGGGAAGTGCAACGAATGACTTTCATCATCACTCATATCGCTACCATCATGGCAACCTTCACCACTGCCATCACCCACCGTCCCCACCACCATCACCACCACCATCACCCACCACCACCACCATCACCACCACCACCCACCATCACCCACCACCGCCACCATCACCACCACCACCCACCACCATCACCACCCACCACCACCCACCATCACCACCATCACGACCCACCAACACCACCATCACGACCCACCAACATCACCACCACCCACCACCATCACCACCACCATCACCCACCACCATCACCACCACCACCCACCACCATCACCACCACCACCAATATCACCACCACCACCACCCACCAACATCACCACCACCACCCACCACCACCACCACCGCTACCCATGATCATCATCGCTACTCATACGGTCATCACCTTCAATCACAACTACACCACCATCATTGGCGAGACATCGGCGATGTTATTGTAGCAAAACATCAAAGCCATAAAAAAATACGTCCTCTAAACAAAAACCCGCTCGTAACGATTGTCAGCGAGCACTGCTTAAGTTGTGAACAAAACCTCGCACTTTAATACACCGAGGGCAGGGCGCGACCGCCCGTCCTCGCCTAGATTCCCTACCGGGAAAGGCGCGGCCACCCGGGTAGACATACTAGGCCGCAAGGGGGTAGGGAGTAGGGAAAGAGCGTGGGTGGCGTGGGTGGGAAGCATAGGCGAGGATATGTATTGAGGCAGAGCACAGTCAAGGAGCACAGCTGGAGTCCCCGGAGCAGCTGTAGCAGCGGGAGTCGCCTCACCATGAGATCCTCGGCCGATATGAAGTCATTTAGAATAGCCTCCATCGCTGCGCTGCCGAGAGTAGAATTCCCACAGCGGATTGGCGTCGAATGACGTCATGCCGCTTGACACAGCCGACACTTATGGTGTAATGACGTCACTCGGAGGTTTGGATATTCGTCGTGGAGTCAAGGTGACTCGCCGCGTCCCCGTGGCGTCATGTTGTTCGCGCTCTCGTCATACAGATGGATGACATCATCATGGATGACATCATTTTGACACGGAGAGTCATGGTCGCGCGCTACTATATATCGTAGGATTTTACGATATATCGTAGGATTTTAAAAATCGTTGGATTTAACGATATTTGACGATATATCGTAGTATCTTACTATATATCGTAGGATCTTGCTTATCGTAGAATCTTACGCTTCATCGTAGGATCTTACGATATATCGTAGGATTTCATTATATACCGTGGGATTTTATGAAATATCGTAGGATGTTATACACCGTTGAATTTCACGATATACCGTAGGATTTTATAATATGTCCATATATCTGGGGAGGGTGTCGCCACGACCAGAGCGGGGCCTCGACTCCTGCTTTGACTGTGGCCTGCGGGGCCACGTGGCCTGCGGGGCCACGTGGCGTCGAGTTGCCGGGCGCTTCGACGACGCTTCTCGTGGCCCCAGCGTCGTGCCCCCGACCATCCTCTCCTGCCGAGGCGAGTCGCGACACGGCACACACTCAGCCCCCAGCTCCACTTCACGCCAGAGGTCGCAATCGGGTACCCGATACCCGTACCCTACCCGATATCCGGCTACCCGTTTGCGACCCTGGTGCGGCCGGGTACGGGTAAGGGTGAGTCACTGGTGAGTAACCATTTGTCACTCATTTCCCAACGTCTTGTCTCTTCTCACAATTCAAGTTCCTAGAATCAACCCACCCGCACCTGCAACATGGCTTCATCCCAGAGGTCGCAATCAGGTACCCGTACCCGTACCCTACCCGATACCTGGCCGGGTACGGGTAGCCGGGTATCGGGTAGGGTACGGGTACCCGTTTGCGACCCTGGTGCGGCCGGGTACGGGTAAGGAATCAAAACCCGTTTGCGACCTCTGCCTCACGCAGCTCCTTGCGCCGGGTCGCGGTCTCGTCGTGCGTCGGCTACGCGGGAGCACGGGGCGTGTTCGGGCTGACTGGCCACTCCGACCAGGTCGGTGGTCGGAGTTGGTCCATAGGGTGGTGGCCGCGACCGAGGGTTCGTCGGTTGTCGTGGGATCCATCGAGGGGGTCGATTTTCGAATGCTCGTCAACACTGGGGCATCGGCAACCATTATTTCCGAGCTCATTTTATAACATCTTGCCGGACAAATGCCGGATGTCACTGCACGTTGTGTAAAGCCGGCCCGTGTGAACCCGGAGGCCTGGTGACCGGAGGTCACGGTCCGCGGGCCCCAAAGAGGGGGCTGGGGGACCACGGGGCCAGGCCCAGGTCCCTCTCGAAGGCTCGAGAAGGGGGGCGTGGCTCGGGACGGAGTCAGCCCCGCCACGGGCAATATCAGCCGGGGCCCTGAACAGGTCCGGCTGGCTGTTGCAAGAATCGAGACGGAAGCCGTCACCGGGAGAAGACCTGTCCGACTACAAGACCCGGACCTGAGCCGGGGTCTGGTCCGAGATAGCCACCCGTGTGAGCTAGGGTGAGTTGGGGTGAGCTGGGGTGAGCTAGGGTGAGCTGGGGTGAGCTAGGGTGAGCTGGGGTGAGCTGGCGTGAGCTAGGGTGAGCTGGGGTGAGCTGGGGTGAGCTAGGGTGAGCTGGGGTGAGCTAGGGTGAGCTAGGGTGAGCTGGGGTGAGATAGGGTGAGCTAGGGTGAGCTGGGGTGAGCTAGGGTGAGCTGGGGTGAGCTAGCGTAAGCTGGGGTGAGCTGGGGTGAGCTGGCGTGAGCTAGGGTGAGCTGGGGTGAGCTGAGGTGAGCTGGGGTGAGCTGGCGTGAGCTAGGGTGAGCTGGCGTGAGCTGGGGTGAGCTAGGGTGAGCTGGGGTGAGCTGGGGTGAGCTAGCGTAAGCTGGGTGAGCTGGGGTGAGCTGGCGTGAGCTAGGGTGAGCTGGGGTGAGCTGGGGTGAGCTGAGGTGAGCTGGGGTGAGCTGGGGTGAGCTAGGGTGAGTTGGGGTGATCTGGGGTGAGCTGGGGTGAGCTGGCGTGAGCTAGGGTGAGCTGGGGTGATCTGGGGTGAGCTGGCGTGAGCTGGGGTGAGCTGGAGTGAGCTGGGGTGATCTGGGGTGAGCTGGCGTGAGCTGGGGTGAGCTGGGGTGAGCTGGGGTGAGCTAGGGTGAGCTGGGGTGAGCTAGGGTGAGCTGGGGTGAGCTAGCGTAAGCTGGGGTGAGCTAGGGTGATCTGTGGTGAGCTAGGGTTAGCCAGTCCGGAGGAGATACCTTCCTGGGGTAGCTGGTGAAGGGGCAGATATACCCCTTCGTGATTTGAAGCTTTCGTGACAGTAGGAATCCATACTCTTTGGTTCTTTCGGTAAAGTCACGTAGGTATAAAATAAATATAAATAAATCACGACGTTTCGGGCGCAACACAAGCGTCCGTCATCAGGTGCATCTCACAGCGCGCGATGCAGCGACTGCGAGCGCTTTGTGTGTAATGTATGGGACTGTGATGACAGTACATGATTGTGATTACGTGATCGATGTGGGGAGCGGTGGTGTAGCGGTTAGCGCACTGCACTACGAACCTAGGGACCCGAATTCGATTCTCGCTCACGGCCAACACAAGCGACGATTGTCTGAACCGGTCCTGGGCCTTCTTTCGGTAGACTCAGATGAGTATCTGGTGCGGTGTGTAAACATCGCCACTAGGGAGACAAAGGTGCCCGGGCGTGGTGCTGGCTACCCACTCCCTCGTGTGCCTTGCTGGCCTTCACAGGTGCTGCTCGCAAACAGCACTTGCCCTAACAGTCTGTTACAGGCTATACGGGTGATCTTTGTCTTTGATGGGATTGTGACGACACTCCGTGATTGTGAGAACAATCATCCACGGCGCCTCGTGTGACTGGCGGCGCGCGCGGCCTGGCGCTGGACATGGGAGCCGAGTCGCCGTGTTGAGAAGACCCGGCAAGTAGCGTCGTCTGTGCGCGCGGGTGGCGTGCGTCACACACAAGAGTCAGCTGGAGACGGGGTGGTCGCGGGAGACACCGTCCCCTTTTATTGTTGTTGCCGAGCTCACACCGCCACTCGTGCCCCCCTCTCACACACGACTATGCTGCCGCACGACCCGTCCCGGACACGACCCTGTCCGCGATGCACCGACGGCGTCGACCGAGACAGCCAACCGCTGTCCGGCCGTGCGATGATCTGGCGAAGGCGGCAACGACGAGGGCGGCGACGACGAAACGAGTTCACTTCCAGAACCCTCAGCCCGGAGCTCCCCGCTCTCCGCTGCTTTTATTCCCCTCGTCGCGGCTTGGCTCCACCCTAGCCGCGCCTCCCTTCTCGAACCCTCCAGAGGGTTTCCTGGGGCTTGCCCACGAGGTCTACCGTGACCCTTGCCCCAGTTCCTCCGCCCTGCCGGCACACACACCGTGTGTATGCTCAACGGCGTGTGTGCTAAGTGTCTACCTGCAGTTGCAGCTGCTGTCCAAATGTATTGCATGGTGAGCAATGAAACTTGTGAACAAGACTTAGACATGGATTATGTCGCAGGGTCGTGGGAGGTGATGACGGCCTTCCAGCTGTGGATTGACCACGGCCGATGATAACACGTGAGCACGATGGAGTCCATAAAGGGCAGGGAGTCTATATAGGGCAGGGAGTCACTACAAAGGGCAGGGTGTCACTACAAAGGGCAGGGAGTCACTACAAAGGGCAGGGAGTCACTACAAAGGGCAGGGTGTCACTACAAAGGGCAGGGAGTCTACAAAGGGCAGGGTGTCACTACAAAGGGCAGGGTGTCACTACAAAGGGCAGGGTGTCACTACTGAAGTATTGGAAATGACGGCAGGAACTTCTTGACGGGTAACACACTTTTATTAAATCTTGTCGTGTCACAATACAACGTGTGGTCTCTATTCTTTTGACTATACACTCCACATAACTCGTGTAGACTCTATGCCTCTGGCTACACACAATGCACTTGACTCGTGTAGACCCTATGCCTCTGGCTACACACAATGCACTTGACTCGTGTAGACCCTATGCCTCTGGCTACACACCATGCATTCAACTCGTGTAGACCCTATGCCTATGGCTACACACAATGCATTCGCCTCTGGGTTACACAGAGTCCCGGTCCCGTTAGGACAGCGGGACTAGGTACCGCAGGGCCCTATCTCTTCGATCCCCGTCTTCATTATTCGCTGGTTACATCCTGCCTTTACGCCTGTGTGCATCCCCTTTTATAGCCCCTGCTCACGGGAGACGGAGCTGATGCGGACGTCGACGTGAGCATCGCTCCTTAGTTAACCAATGACGACGCGCTATCTCTACGATCCGTTTTCCCCAGCGCGTGTTAACACTACTCAACCAATCACACCGCGCTGCCACCCGATCACTCCCTCTCAGCGCGTCACCGGCACACAGCCAATCAGCACCACGTAACCCACGACCCCGCGCTGACCCCTGATCCTCCACCGTCAGCGCGCGTCACCAGAAAACGAACGCGCCAAGTGTCTCTGTGACTAAACGCAGTGACGAGGCGCTCCGGCTGCCTCGACTCCTCACGTGGTAGGTCATAAAAAGTAGCGCGACCTAGCGCGAGTCCGTCTGGCCGGTCCGTCGTATGGGACGGGACGCTGGCGACCGTCCGGTGGCTCCGGCAGCTCTAGACGGCGCGGATCGGGCCTGGAAGGACCGGCCCCGCCGCGAAGATCCGGCCGCCGGTGGTCGGCAGCTGTCAGTTCCGAGACACCTGGGAGCGGATCAGGCGGAGACATGTGAGGATCAGGCAAAGACATTTCCCCCTTAGGGTCGTCGGTCACGTCACATGCTCGGCCCTCACGACACAAGGGGAGGCTACATGGAGGCGAGAACGGTTTCAGTCGGGAGGGGTGGACGTACCAACGGCGCTTTCCCCATTTTATCTGAACGCACTGGGGGCGTGCAACCCGCACGACCTCCACGGGTCCCCGCTATGGCTTCAACAATTTAGGCGACG